CCAGTCTTAAAGTTACCAAGATTGGACATCCCTGGCCTAGCTCTTTAAACTTAATTTACTCTTCATTTTACACATGGAGGATTGAAGGAGGTGGATGATTACTTCCACTCCCTTGTCTCCTGGTCTTAGCCATATGGCCTTGAAAAGTCCATCCCACGAATGGCATTGTTGCAACAGCAAGCTTCCTTCCTTGGATGGATGGATGCAAGCTTTGCTTTGGTTCCCTTGGGAAATGCCAGGCTGTGAACACTGCCAGACCTTTGCAAGTAGTCTTGACCCAGATGTTTCTCTCAGCAACAATCTCTGGGGAAGGCTCTTCGTTTCAGAAACTATTATGGTTACTTTGTCTTCTTCCAAAGACCCTACAATCAACACAACATTCTGGAACCTCTACGTGATGGTATGTGAGAATGACCTTGGGAGACAGGAGGAAGCCCCACAGCCTGATAAGAAGGGGCTCAGTCCACAAGTGGTGGGAAAAGCCTTGGGAACATTTCAGGAAGTCTCTTTTCTGGAGACTAAAAACAGAAGAGGCAAGAAAAAGTATCAACCTTGTAAAATTCTGTTAAAGTAGCTCCACAGTGCAGTACGGCCAGTTTATCTGCTTGGGGGTTTTGTCTGGACTACCTTGCAAGACTGATACCGTGAACTGAGCTGCCTCTTAAAGCAGGGGTCTCCAACCTTGGCAACTTTACGACTTGTGGACTTCAACTCCCAGAGGTACTCAGTCAGCGCATGCTGGCTGAGGATTTCTGGGAGCTGAAGTCCACCAGTCATAAAGTTGTCAAGGTTGGAGACCCCTGCCTTAAAGAACCTTGTCCAGGCTGCAAGTCTTCCTCCTGTCTTCCAGGCTCATTCCTACATATCATTGCACAGGTGGTTGTTCTTCAAGATGCTAAGTCATACCCAACTATTGGCAATCCCATAGACCAGGGTCAAACTCAGGGCCCGTGGTCCGAATCCAGCCTGTGGTGCCCCTGCCAGCAAAAACAGAGCTCAGGAGGGCCATGGTTCTTTTTTTTAAATTTGATTTATATGCCGCCCTTCTCCGGAGACTCAGGGCGGCTTACAATGCGTTAGGCAATAGCTTTCATACTTTTGTATATTTATACAAAGTCAGCTTATTGCCCCCACAAACTGGGTCCTCATTTAACCTACCTTAGAAAGGATGGAAGGCTGAGTCAACCTTGAGCCTGGTGAGATTCGAACTTACAGTAATTGCAGACAGCTGGTGTTAATCACAATGCTTTTAATCTGCTGAGCCACCAGGCCCTGGGTGGTCCTCACGAACTCTGATTTCACTGGTAGAGGGTTGCAGGAGGCTGTCGCAGCTGAAAACTGAGCTCGGGACCCTGTTTTCGCTGACAGAGCGTTTGGGTGCCCACTGGCGCCCTCGACATGAGTGACGTCAAGCTGGCCACACCCACCCCAGCCCCCCGAGGTCAAATGCAAACCTGATGCGGCCCTCAATGAAATTGAGTTTGATTGTCTGCCATAGACAATAGCATACCAGCCCGCTCTGTCCTCCACTGTCTTCTAGAGTTTGCCAAAAATCATGTTCATTGCATCAGTGACACTATCTAACCATCTCATCCTCTGCCTTCCCCTTCTCCTTTGGCCTTCCATCTTTCCCAACATCAGGGTCTTTTCTGAGGAGTCCTCTCTTCTCATTTGGTGGCCAAAGCATTTGAGCTTCAGCATCTGTCAGTCAAGATTGTTTTCCTTTAAGATTGAGTTGATTTGATCTCCTTCCTTGCAGTCCAAGGGACATTTTTTTTTTAATTTGATTTATATGCCGCCCTTCTCCGGAGACTCAGGGCGGCTTACAATGTGCTAAGCAATAGCCTTCATCCTTTTGTATATTTATACAAAGTCAGCTTATTGCCCCCACAACTGGGTCCTCAATTTACCTACCTTAGAAAGGATGGAAGGCTGAGTCAACCTTGAGCCTGGCGAGATTCGAACCTGCATTAATTTCAGGCAGCTGGTCTTAATAACAGGGTGCTTGGATCTTCTCCAAAACCACAGTTCGAAAGCATCAATTCTTTGGCGCTCAGCCTTCCCGGTGGCCCAACTCTCACAGTCGTACATTATTTCTGGGAAAACCATTTATAGGAAAGAATGACTGTAGAAATATGAGTAATATATTTCATAATGTCCAATATTTATTTTTCTCCCAGTCCTATTGTTCAACGCTAGCCCTGCCCAATTTTTGCAAATGAAACACCAACACACTCCAAAGGTCATTTTGTTCCCTGGGCATGTAGGATGGGATTAAAAAGTTAGATTTGTTGCTCTAACACATGGACACGTGCCTGCCCTTCAAACAACTGTTTAGTGCAGAGCTTTTGTGTTAAATAATCTCGGAAACCTGTTTGCAGTTTTTGCATGATGAAGAAAGCAACATGAACGCTGGCATTTCGTGTAGTGTTTTCTGCAGTGGCTCCGTGAAAAGTGTTTCTAGGAAAATAGGCTTATTTACCATGGGTTTCTAATTAGTTCCCCCTTAATAAAAACAGATAGTTTTCTCGAGGCTGCTGTTAAAAGTAGAAGAAGGTAGAGAAAATGCTTAGTTTTAAAATTCTTCCCTGCTAACTGGATCATCTCCTTTGGTGCTTTGTTCCCTGTAAAAATTGCAAAAAACATCTTCGCCATTCTGGATTTAGGTCAGGAAGTTTGGAGGAGACAAACAATTTGGGGAAACAGAAGCATGTATGTAGAAGGATGAAGGGGTGTTCTGTCATTACATTTGGGGGTAGGAAAAAAAATCCCCCTTAACTTAAAGGGAATTTTCTGTGTTTCCCAAATTTACGCGCCCTGCCAAAACTGGTATTGTGTTCATTGAGTTAGTTGACGTGATGCAAAAAAAGGACTCCAATCTTGTGGGAAAGCAAGTGCCCTTGTTTCATATTCAATAAATCTTAATGAAAACGAACAAATTCTGGTTAAATACCCCCTGGAATACGAATAATCCCAGATCTTCGCACTTTCATGCCTTTCAGCTGCAATCCAGGAGCCCTCAAGCAGTTGCATCCACAACAAACCATTTTTTTATACCAAATATATTTTACTGATAAAGAAATAAAGGGAGACTGGTATAGACCTATTTCAAGCTTCTTAGCTCTCATCAGCCAGCCTTACCCTTACTTGGATTCGAACCTGCAGGCAGCCCAGGTTCGAATCCAAGTAAGGGTAAGGCTGAGTCTCCCTTTATTTCTTATATATATATGAAATCTTAATCTGTTCACCCTCCTGAGTCCTTCGGGAGAAGGGCGGTATAGAAATTCAATAAATAAATAAATAAATAAATAAATAAATAAATAAATAAATAAATAAATAAATAAAATTTTAGTGATGCTAATATCAAATTCAGAATTGGTGGCCATTTATCAGAACATATGCTATAGGATGACTGTAATTAAGTTCTACGTATTGCTGTTCCATTCTATCTTTAAAGAAGCATTGACACATAGAGGTGATCCTTGACTTATGATCACAATTGAGCCTGGAATTACAGTCATAAGTTTTGTCAGTTGTTAAGCAGCTCATCGTGTGATTGCATCCAATTTTATGACTTTTTTTTTTTTTTTTTCGGGTTTCTTTAAGGAAATCCATTTTTTTCAAGTGGCTTTTTTTTTTTTTTTTGCTGGAAACAGGACGTAAATGCCAGTTTACAACAAAACACATTGTAAATTGTGGCCACATGACCACAGGATGTTGCAAATGGCCGTAAAGGCAGGCCAATTGCTAAGCGCCCAAAATGTAATCACATGACCATGGGGGGGGGGGGGGGGCAGCCATCAGAATTTTGGAATAGAGTTGTAAGTATCCTGGGGAGGTCCGTTGTAACTTTGAATGGTTGCTAAGTGGCCAGTCGTAAGTCAAGGACTACCTGTGTACACAATTTCCCTGGGGATTTGTGTAACATCTTTCCATCAGCATTAAGAATTTTATTATGAAAGACAATCCGTGCCCCTTTGTGACTGTTTTTATTACTGCCCTTACTAATTGTGTATTGAAATAGGCTGCAAAGTGTTCGGTATTGTTCTTTTAGAAAAAATAAATTGTCTTACTTTTCTCTTTCTCTTTGTTTCATTTGCCTTCTCTGATCGAAGTCTAGGAGAGTAAGTCAATGCTTTAATGGCTATTTATATTCACAGTAAATTTGCAGATCTTGTCTTCACTGTCGCCACATTTCCATCAGGCTTGTGTATTTGTGTATGTTTGCCATAGGTATATACAGGCATCCCGCACATGTATACCGTATTTTTCGGACTATAAGATACACCTACCTTTTTTGGGAAGGAAAACAAGAAAAAGAAATCTGCCTCCCAGCAATTTGTCTCCTTGCAGCAAACACCCTGTTTCAGCTTCAGCACAACCTGATTAGCACAAGCAGCTGATTGTCGGTTAGATCGGCCTCCCGAACGTCAGCTGTTTCAGGCTGCAGAGATTGCCATAGCTTATTGCTGCCTCTGCGTGCCCCATTTTCCGGGGGAAGGAGGGTGGGCGGGGCTACGTTTGGTATATAAGACACACCCAAATTTTCACCCTCTTTTGGGGGGGAAATGTGCGTCTTATACTCCAAAAAATACGGTACTTTGAATTTCATCCTAATTTCAAACTAAGAACAAAAAACAGAGACATTGGAAATACCATTGAACAATCAATATACATGTGGTTTACGTGTGTGTGTATATAGCTTGCTGGCTGCCAACTCTTTCTACATTTCTTACATCGGACATTATGATTTTGTTTTTTAACTAAATGTGCTAAGATTTTTCATTCAGAGCTTTTCAGCACTGTGGAAGTATGCAATAATCCTTTATCTGCTAAGCCAAAAAATAAATAAACATTCTGTGTCTCAAGTCTTCTGTAAACGAAATCATTCTTTGTGCTGTAGCTCTATAAATAAAGGAATTAATGTGAAACAAAGAAGCCAAAGAGCTAATCAAGAGGAAGGAAAATATCAATATATTTGTCCCTTTCTTTTTGTCTAGGATTCACAGAGCCGGCAAGGAGGATATAGCATGCATCAACTTCAGGGAAATAAAGAATATGGCAGTGAAAAGAAAGGATACCTTTTAAAGAAAAGTGATGGGTACGGATTTCAGACTGCGATCTTTGACAGATGGAGTGAATTAATACTCTAAAACTTTTTTTTTTAATGCAAAACTCTCTTTTATATTCCATTTATTACATTCTAAAACTTCCAGGGTTTGAAAAATTGGCTTCTGTTAATGCTGGTGAGACCTTTTCCCTCTGATTCTTGTCCAACCAAACATCTCACAGCAATTCAAGAGAAGCATGTGGTTGGTTGAGAACTAGGGTATAAATCTTTTTATATAGCTAATAAATAGGTATTTTTTTAAGTTTATAATACAAAATACAAAAGATACAAAAGCAAATAATAGGAAAAATAGGGGAAGGAAAAGAAAAGGGGTAGAAAAGGGAAAAAGGAAAGAAAAGTTGTAAGTCTTTTCAATGTTCATGCTTTGTTTATTTAAAAAATAAATCGGCATGTATTGAAATAAGTTTTTTTCTTCCTAAGCTGGCACAATGTACATACTCCTGAAAAAATAAAAACGCACAATAAAGAAACTTGACGTGATACCAAGCACTCTTAACCATAATGCCCCATTTCATAGCTGAGCACTGTGGAGTCTCAAGATTATTTGCCCATAAATCAGAAAAATAAAGCTGCATAGGAAGGCGGCCTGTTTTATTGTGGTTATTGATCAGTCACAAATCCCCACCACCCAAAAAAAAAAAAAAAAAAAGAATCAATCTCTTTCAACCTCTGATAGAGAGATTAAGGAGTTAGGTATAATTAAAGATTCTGCCCAAACTCCATTTATTATAACCCAGTGGAATGTGATAATTCACTCAGATCTTGAGAAATATGAGTAAACATGTCAATAATTTTAAAGTTCGGTCTTTATCTTTTAATGAGATGCTTGTTGTTTTTGCATTATTTATTGATCGATATAGTAGAAAGGCTGTCATCCCACATTAAATTATTGCAGATTGCAATCTCTCTAAAACAGGAGTGTCCAACAACTTTAGCAACTTTAAGACCTGTGGACTTCAACTCCCAGAATCCCCCAGCCAGCCACGGTTCTGGAACTTGGAAGTCCACAGGTCTTAAAGTTGCCAAAAGTTGTTGAACACTCCTGTTTTAGAGGGATCGGAATATGCAACAATTTAACGCAAGATGACAGCCTTTCTACTAAATCAATCCATCAATAATGCAAAAATAACAAGCATCTCATTAAAAGATAAAGACCGAACTATAAAATTATTGACAGAGTTGGACACCACTGCTCTAAAACTTTGAACTGAAATTAGTAAGACTTCCAAGTGTATATAGGGACAGGGTGGCTTAGTGGCTAAGACACTGAGCTTGTCAATCGAAAGGTCAGCATTTCAGCGGTTCGAATCCCTAGTGCCGCGTAACGGGGTGAGCTCCCATTACTTGTCCCAGCTTCTGCCAACCTAACAGTTCGAAAGCACGTAAAAAATGCCAGTAGAAAAATAGGGACCACCTTTGGTGGAAAGGTAACAGCATTCTGTGCGCCTTTGGTGTTTAGTCATACCGGCCACATGACCACGGACATCTCTTCGGACAGCGCTGGCTCTTTGGCTTTGAAATGGAGATGAGCAACGCCCTCTAGAGTCAGGAATGAGTAGCACATATGTGCGAGGGGAACCTTTATCTTTACTTTTACCAAGTGTGTGCTGGTAGGGGAGCCAGTAATTTCTATGAATAAAGGACTACTGATGTTAGGCAAAATGTTGTACAAATTAAAACTAATCCACCTTTGCATCAGGAAGGGCAGCTTGTTGATGTTGTTTAGTTGTTAAGTCATGTCCGACTCTTAGCAACTCCATGGACCACAGCACACCAGGTCCACCTGTCCTCCATCGTCTTCTAGAGAGTTGGCCAAAATTCATGTTCATTGCATCAATGACACTATCTAACCATCTCATCGTCTGGCATCGCCTTCTCCTGCTTTCTATTTTTCACAACATCAGGGTCTCTTCTCATTTGGTGGCCAAAATATTTGAGCTTCAGCTTTAGTCTTTGTCCTTCCAAAGGACAGTCAGGGTTGATTTCCTTTAGGATTGACAGGATTGACAGGTTTGATAGTCCAAGCAGTTCTCCAAAGTCTTCTCTAGAACCACAAATCAGAAGCATCAATTCTTTGGTGCTCAGCCTTCCTTATGGTCCAATCTTCACAGCCATACATTTCTACTGGGAAAACCATAGCTTTGACTATAAAGTACAATTTAGCGGTGGTAAAGTCCAAAATCAGTATGGCATTCGATTAAATGTTAATTTGGTGTTACTTTAATTGAATTGATAAATTAATGTAGCTGTTCCTCATATGCTTAGTTATTGAGGCTTTTTTTTTTTTTTTTGGAGCCACGTGCAGGCCTGTGGCCTTGAGGTTATGGGTAAGAAACCTAATGAAAGAGCTTTTGTAAAGAAAAATGTAGATCATGGAACGGAAAAAAAAAATAACACAGCCTTTTCTTTTCAGAGAAGTACCTATTGTGCATGAGGAAAAATAAAATGCCTTCCAGCATCATAAAGTAGGAAGAAATAGGAGTTACACTGGGGAGAATAATGTGGCTGTTTCAACCCAGTTTTGCTGAATTACAAGCAGAATTACAGTCTGCACCTGCCCCTTTACAGAATTTCGGAATAACTTAGAATAGAATAGAAATAGAAAGTAGACTAGGAATAGAGATTAGATTAGATTAGATTAGATTAGATTAGATCAGATCAGATCAGATCAGATCAGAACAGAACAGAACAGAACAGAACAGAACAGAACAGAACAGAACAGGATAACAGAGTTGGAAGGGACCTTGAGGTCTTCTAGTCCAACCCCCTGCTTAGGCAGGAAACCCTATGCTTTTTTTTTGTTACTTGTTAACATATAACTAACATATTTATGCTAACATACTTGTTAGCTGTTAGACTGGTGATAACAAACCTAAAACAGGTGTATCACAGCACAAGTGATACCTGATTTCATTTTGGGGGACACATCAGGCCTCTAGATTCTCTGGATCACAAAAGAGATCTCCTGATCTGCAGAGAAATCGGGCTTGTTTCCTACTCTTTTTAGTGTATTTAGGCCATGCAGGAGCATTCTTCAAAATTTCCAGATCTCTTGCAACCTGGAGATGCCTCAGATAGGCACTTTGAAAAAAATATTCACAGTTAACGGAAGTTTTTATTTATTCACGAATCAATTTAAATACTTTTTTAAAATTCAACTTAGTATTATTTGTTATGAATTGTTTCTTGTTTGTCAGAAGGAGGGGATATACATCGGGAGAGTTAAGTTAGGCATTTTCTGAACTTTTGACAACACTGAGCCCAAAAGCTTCAATGCCATTCTTAGATAGTAGATTGTTTGACTCAGGGGTGAAATCCAGCAAGTTCTGGAGAACCGGTAGCGGAAATTTTGAGTAGTTCGGAGAACCGGCAAATACCACCTCTGGCTGGCCCCAGAGTGGGGTGGGAACAGTGATGGGATTCAAATTCAAATTTAACAACCGGTTCTCTGCCCTAATGATTTCTTCCAACAACCAGTTTGCCAAACTGCTCAGAAAGTTAACAACTGGTTCTCCCGAAGTGGTGCGAACTGGCTGAATCCCACCACTGGGTGGGAATGGAGATTTTGCAATATCCCTCCCACAGGAGTGGGGTGGGAATGGAGATTTTGCAATATCCTTCCCCTGCCACGCCCACCAAGCCACACCACACCCACCAAGCTACGCCCACAGAACCGGTAGTAAAAAAAAAATGGATTTCACCACTGGTTTGACTGTTTGGTAGTGTGTCACTGCACCCAGCTTATATATAACTCAAGAAATTCAACCGGGCGTTGAAAATCGCATATGAAGAAAAATCCTGTTTGTGTTGGGTCCTTGGTGTTCTCTGAGCTTAGTGGTTTTCTTGCAGACATTTCATTATGAGGGCACTGATGATGTTACCTAGTTTGGTAATAAAACGTCTGCAAGAAAACAACCCAGCTCAGACAGCACCAAGGACTCCACGGTTCTACCCTGAGCTACAAATACTCTCTTCTATCTGTAGTCTTATTTGTGTACTCGAGTAATATAATGGATTTTTTTTTTCTCATTTAAATACACATTGTGTATATTTCTGACAAATGCATGAGGTATATTAGGTTGCGCTTGCTTGTTCTGCAGCACCTGATGGGGGAAAAAAATCTTAATTTTGAACAATACCTCATTGATTCGTGTTACTTTTTTTTTATCAGCATACGGAAAGTTTGGCAGAGAAGAAAATGCACAGTTAAAAATGGCATCCTGACCATTTCCCATGCAACTGTGAGTAGTCTTTTTATATTGTAAATGATTATCCCCACACTGTGAAGTGAAGTTAATATCAAGGTGGTTAGTGATTAGATCAGGTCAGATCAATTTCATTTTTGACTGAATAGCAGTAGAACCATACTATTGTCTTCCACTTACAATCTCAAATTGGGACTGGTCTTGAAGTGCCCACGTGACCGGAAGTGATTTTAAGACTTTTTTTGCTGTGATCCTTAAATGAATGTAATAATTATAAGTGAGAATCCAATATTTCAAATGGGCATTTTTTGCTGGAAACTGGTTTCCCCGTGGACCTTGCTTGCCAGAAAGTCACAAAATCTGATCACGGGACACCCCCGCCCCCCAGGATACTGCAACTGTCATAAATACATGCTGCTTACCAAGTGTTGTGGCCCGTCAGCGGCCTGTGCGGATTGTAGCTGATTCAGACAGTGAGGAGGCTGGTATGGTGCTGCGCCAGCAGCCTGTGCAGCTGGCATCCGAGTCAGACAATGAGGAGGCTGAAGAAGATGTGGTGCCAGAGGCAGGGATTCAGCCAGGGCCTTCAGAACCTCCAGAAGCTCCTTTAAGTGAAGCGGACGAAGAGGAGGAGCCTTTTCTCAATGCACAGGCGCACAGAGCTGCCAAAAGGCAGGAGTGACTCCTCAGGAGGAGGTCTCCTCGAGAGTAAGGCTGGGGCTAATTGGCCACTCCCTTAGCCTATTTAAGGAGGAACGCCGACTGAAGCAATTTGTAGGGAACAACTTTAGTTCACTCTACTTCGCGTCTGGATTCTCTGCAAATTGCTTCTGGGCTTTCTGCCAACCTTCGTAAGATTGTGATTACTTTATCTTTGGTTTCTTGTAGGCTGTTAAGAAAGTTTATTAACAGCCTTTGTTTTGAAAAAGACTGAGTTATTTTAGTAAATTAAGTTTTGTACAAACTTTGTGTGTGCTGCGTTCTTTGGGATCCGTAGCTGGGGCAGAATACCAAGTGTCTGAATTTTGATCAAGGGAAGACAGGGATGTTGCAATGGTCATAAGTATGAAAAAGGGGTCATAGTTCACCTTTCTCAATGCGGTTACAACTTTGAACAGTCACTAAACAAAGGATTGTAAGTCAAGGACTACTTATGAAGACAATTTCTGTCTGCAAGGAACAGTGAAAAGAAATAATCTACAGAGAGACATGGAATATTTCTCAAGGGACCATTTTTTATGGAGAAGCTACTTCTCTGTTATTTTGTGTGTGTGTGTGTGTGTGTGTGAATTCTTGATACTATGAGGAGCAAAAATGAACATTGCATTTCTTGAGAATCTGTTTTACCTGTCGTTATAGAGTAGTTCTCGACTTAAAACAATTCATTTAGTGACCGTTTCTAGTTATGTCACCGAAAAAAGTGGACTTATGACTGCTTTTCACACTTACAACTTTTGCAGCATCCCCATGGTCAAAATTCAGACGCTTGACAACTGACTCACATTTATGGCGGTTGCAATGCCCCCTGGTCATGTGATCTCTTTTGCAACCTTCTGACAAAGTCAATGGAGAAGCCAGATTCACTTAACAACCATGTTACCAACTTAACAACTGCAATGATTCACTTAACAACTGTGGCAAGAAATGTCATAAAATGGGACCGTCTCGCTTAGCAACAAAATTTTTTGGGCTCAGTTGTGGTCGTAAGTCAAGGACTACATGTACTTCATAGTGTCCTATTTTCAGTCGAGATTCTACAGACTTCATAATAGCCTAATTTGAGTTCTGCTAAATTTCTGGTAACTTATCAAAACTGGGCATAAATTTGTAAATGCGTATTTTTCTTTGCAAACCATTATTCATAACATGTAGCTAAAAATGCACATGTGCCTTGTGCATCCAAATGTGCTTTGGATTATTAAAGCTGAAGAATAATAGCCTGAAGTAGATCAACAAATCTATTGTCGACGCAATTAATTTAAATATAGTCCTTCATTTAAGAGGTTTGGTATTAGGAGTCTTCCTTGTTATTAGCTCTCATAACACTTGGTAGCTATCCTAGCCAGAATTTCACTTCAAGCCCATAGAAGGCACGCTCCAGGGAAATTTAGCATTTGGGGGGGAAAAAATTGATAGTTAGATGTGTTCCATTATATGGAAGAAATTCAAAATTTAGGAGGTTTGCAATTCTGCGTCATCACTCAACGATCATCATTAGGAGAAATAGCTTCATTGGTTTCAGTGAGACACCCTGACTTAAAACAGAGCGTTTAAAGCGTTAAATCATGTTTACAGCTTTTGAGCCAAAGTTGCTTCAAAGGGGTTAGAAAATAGCAAGGAAAAATTCCAGTCTGATTAATTCTGATTTAGTTGTCAGAGTTGAGTGAATATCGCCCCCTTGTGTTCGACCCGTTTTCCAAATGTCTCTGGAAAACGAGGCTGAATTTGGTACAGGTAGTCCTCGACTTACAACAGTTCATTTAGTGACCGTTCGAAGTTACAACCGCACTGAAATATATGACTTTATGACCATTTTCACAGTTACGACCTTTGCAGCATCCCCCATGATCATGTGGTCAAAATTCAGATGCTTGACAACTGTTTCATATTTATGACGATCGCAGTGTCCCCATGGTCATGTGATCCCCTTTTGTGACCTTCTGACAGGCAAAGTCAATGGGGAAGCCAGATTCACTTAACAATCGTGTTACTAAGTTATCAACTGCAGTGATTCACTTAATAACTGTGGAAAATGGGGGCAAAAGTCAACACTTAACAAATGTCTCGCTTAACAACAGAAATTTTGGGCTCAGTTGTGGTTGTAAGTCGAGGGCTACCTGAATTCAAGAACAAGCTGTCATTAGTAGTTGTGGGGTAGTTTTCCTAATGGATTGGAGAAGAAATAATTTCTTCTCAATACTTCAGCTGAACAGGTATAGCTGCAAAATGATGTACTGTATCTCCATCCATGTCTGGCCAAATTGATATGGTTTTTTTAAAAAAAGAAACAGAGAAAGAAACAGTTTTTCTAGAAGGCTTGAAAGGGACTTCTTTTTCTTTACCAGTGTTGTGTAGAACTTATTTTTTACAAATCATTAATAACCAAGCCCATTTTGATTTAAAAAGTTAAACTAATGGTTCTGTTCCTCTGTATGAGTATTTCTGTTTCCTTTTTCTAACAATGTACTTAGTATAGCCTTTAGACTACCACAATCAAGTAATGGAGAGCAAGATTAGTGTAGTGATGAAGGCACCAGGCTAGAAACCAGGAAACTGAAAGTTCTAGTCCCACCTTAGCCATGAAAGCCAGGTCGGTGACTTTGGACCAATCACCAGGAAACTGTGAGTTCTAGTCCCACCTTAGGCTTGAAAGCCAGCTGGGTGACTTTGGACCAATCACCAGGAGACTGTGAGTTCTAGTCTCACCTTAGTCTTGAAAGCCGGCTGGGTGACTTTGGACCAATCACCAGGAGACTGTGAGTTCTAGTCCCACCTTAGTCTTGAAAGCCAGCTGGATGACTTTGGACCAATCACCAGGAGAATGAGAGTTCTAGTAGTTTAGTTTAGTTTAGTTTATTAGATTTGTATACCGTACTCCCGAAGGACTCAGGGCGGTGAAAAGCATGAAAATAAAACATATTCAATACAAAATTTAAAATAGAAATAAAACAAGTTAGATAAATTTGGCTGAACCATATTTAAAACCCCAATAATTAAACCAAATTTAAAATTCCCATTTAAAAGAGGAGAAGTTTAGGTCAGGCCGGCTTGCTGGAATAGGAACGTTCTTCAGCGTGTTACGGAAGGTATCAGATCCGGAATCCTCCGTATCTGGGGGGGGGAGCTCGTTCCAGATAGTAGGTGCCCCCACAGAGAAGGCTCTCCCCTGGGGGCCGCCAGTCGACATTGTTTGGCCGAGGGTACGGCACCCGAGGAGCCCCTTCTATGGGAGCGTACTGGTCGGTGGGAGGCTATTGGTGGTAGCAGGGCGGTCCCGTAGATAACCAGGTCCTGAGCCATGGAGCGCTTAAAGGTGATGACCAAAACCTTGAAGCGCACTCGGAAGACCACCGGGAGCCAGCAGCTCGCGCAGGAGACTTCGTTCGTTACATTTGGAGCGCCACGTCGCTCCCATCACCACCCGCGCGGCCGCACTCTGCGCCAGTTGGAGCTCCGAGTGCTCCTCAAGGGGAGCCCCATGTAGAGAGCGTTACAATAGTCCAGACGGGAGGTGACGAGGGCATGAGTGACCGTGCGTAACCGAGTCCCGATCCAGAAAAGGACGCAATGGCCGAATCAGGCGAACTGATGAAAAATCCACCGGTCACGGCCGTTCAAGTGCTCTTCTAAAGACAGCGTGAAATCCAGGAGGACACCCAAGTTGCAGCCCTCTCGTGGGGGCCACTTACTTCGCCCCAATGTCAGCGATGGCACCAGCTGACTATATCGGGATGTCGGAAACCACAGCCACTCGGTCTTGATGGGTTGAGTCTGAGCCTGTTTCTCCCCATCCAGATCGTACGGCCTCCAGGCACCGGGACATCACCAAGGGCATCGTTGGGGTGGTCTTAGGTCTTGAAAGCCAGCTGGATGACTTTGGACCAATCACCAGGAGACTGTGAATTCTAGTTCCACCTTAGGCACAAAACTAGCTGGGTGGCTCTAGGCCAGTGTCTCTCCGAGCCCTAGGAAAGAGGCAATGGCAAACTACTTCTGAAAAACCTTCCCAAGAAAATTACAGAGAATCTGTCCAGGCAGTCTCTAAGAATCAGACACAATTGAACAGAAGAAAAGAAAATTAATATGCCTCCTGCCATCTCATGAAAAAAACCAATCTCAGTCTCCCAAGCATTCTAACGTTTCTCAGTAATGACTTGCAGATAAGATGAAAATCTTTATTTCTGTTAATGCACCTTTAGCCACCAAGGACTATTGATGCAGATGAAAATGTCAATACATTTAGTAATGGACAAGGAAAAAAAATATAGCATCTGTGCAGGAATGATCTTTAAGTTAAAAATATAATGAAACAAACATTAAGCAAAATAAAATTGTGTTTTTCTTATGTTTAAGTCAAACAGGCAACCTGCTAAATTAAACCTGCTTACATGCCAAGTGAAACCAAACGCCGAAGACAAGAAATCATTTGACCTGATATCACGTATGTCTTTAAAGTTAATTACTTGCATATTAAACGGTTGTTTAGGATTGGGTTTACCTTGAACAGTTGTTGGAAGATATACATGTTAAGCGCCGGGGAAATCAAGAGTTTCAGGCAAGCTTAAGCTCTCTACAAGAATCTGACCAACTAACAGTCAAGGGAAATGAGCGGGAGATAAGAAAGGCGTTCAAGGCGGGCTGGATTTAAATTTCTTGCGGGCACGCAGGGATGTGAGATTTATGACGTGTTTGACTCCTCCCTCAGATTCAGCCTAGTCATCTCCTACAATGTATCTATTTAGAACTGACCTGGGCATTTTATAGTGTCTGGACCATATCTGGACTGTGGATGGTCCCAATCCGGCCCACGGTATTGGCGGTTTAGGTGGGGCATCGGCAGAGTTGGCGGCAGAGGTCAGATGTAGTGGTGGTATTGGGGGGATGGGGCAGAGGCAGGAGGGGGGCGGTGTCAGCCCTCCATAACAGTCCCAGTTTCTCATGTGGCCCCTTGGGAAAAATAATTGCCCACCTCTGATTTAGAACAATTCTTTCCTGCATATTTTTGTAAGAGCAAGTTAGCTCTTTTTTTAAAAAAAAAAGTGAACAAAATGTTTTCTACTGAAAATAGAACTTCTGAAGGTTCCCTGACTCATTTCAGCATATGTCCTTAGTTACTAAATGTTGACTTTTAAGGCTTTAAATATTTTTTTTTCCCTCTAAGAATGCAATTAATACATTCATTATTTTGAAGATTTGCATGTTTATGTTCCAGATAACAGAACGTACCATTTTCAGGCAGAAGATGAGCAGGATTATGTCGCGTAAGAACATTTTCATTCCTGGAGTTTTTTAGAAAAGTTTTTTTTGTTTTTGTCCAATAATAAACAAGATTAATGTCGGCTGGCAACATGGGCGTATATTTTAACTACTTCATACAATGCAAATGCCTACTCATCGCTTTCCAGGTTATGTTCCCTCTAGCACAGTGATGGCTAACCTTTTTGCCATCGCATGCCAGGAAGGGGTGGGTGGGGGAGGTTCGCATGCACGTGTGCCCACACCCATAATTCTATGCACCCCGCCCCGCGCATGCGATCCCCCCCTCCCCTAGCACATGATGGCCCGGTAGGCCCGTTTTTCTTTTGCACCTGGCTCCATATCCTCTCTATGCATCTGGGGAGGGCGAAAACAGCCTTCCCCACCCCCTCGGAGGCCCAAAACGGCCCCTTTCCCAACTTCTGGTTGGACAGGAAGTGACTTTTTTGCTGTCCCCAGTCTCCAGAGACTCCGACGCATGCGCACCGGAGCTGAGCTGGCGTGCCAGGCAACATGGCTCCGCGTGCCGCCTGTGGCACGCGTGCCATAGGTTCGCCATCATGGCTCTAGCATGTCATTCTAGAGAGTTCTGTAAAATTAAAGAGGAGGTCAGGGTTCTGACCGACGCCTTAATAAAAGCAGGAGCCTCAAGTCAGTTTTCAACAAAAATCCAGTTATTTATTAGGAGCGCCGCTTGCAAGCTCCGTTTTTGCTGCCAGAGCGCTCAGGCCACCACAGGCACACCAACACGAGTGATGTTGAGCTGGCCAAGCCCCCCCTGGCCACACACCAGCCCCCCGAGGTCAAACACAACTCTGATGCAGCCCACAATGAAATTGAGTTTGACACCCCTGATCTACTCGTATTTGCACATGGTTTCGAATTGCCTGATGGGCAGGAGCTGGAGCAAAGAATGGGAGCTCACTCCACTGTGCAGCGCGGGGTCTCCAACCCAGTGTGTCAGCTTTCCAGCTGACTGGTTCAGCATCTTTAACTGCTGAGCCATCGCGCCCCCTCCTTAACCACAGTACCATTTTAATTCTCATAAAATTGGAACCGCAGGATTGAAATCTTTTCACTTTAATGACAAGTACATGTTAAACAGTAAGTTAGATGGATCACAGTTAAATGAGGTCCGTGAAGCATCAGTTCTCCCCTTGATTTTGGAATAAGCAGCATTTCCCATATTTGTGATGCACAGAGAACATCTTTATATAGAACTTGATAAATATTTGTGATTCAAGGGACACATGAAAATAAGCATCTCTTAAATCTTTTGGGCAAATTTACATGTGGATCCTTCACACGTAAAAGCTGGGCTCTAGAATATATTAAATTACATTCATACAGGTACAAAGCCTCTATGTAAAGTCACAAGCAACCACTCAAAAAAAAAAAAAAAAACACCCACCCCAGTTAACCAATCTTATTTTTTTGTTTTTTCTACTTTAAGGTTTTTAATCTCAGTTAAATGGGTATGCAGAGCTTATACATACTAGAAAATGGAAAAATTATCTCATATATACAGGTGGTCCTTGACTTACAACAATTCGTTTAGTGACCGTTCGAAGTTACAAGCACTGAAAAAAGTGACTTATGACCCGTTTTTCACACTTACCACCATTGCAGTATCCCCATGGCCATGTGATCAAAATTGAGATGCTTGGCAACTGGCATGTACTTATGACGGTTGCAGTGTCCCGGGGGTCATATGATCACCTCTTGTGACCTTCTGACAAGCCAAGTCAATGTGGAAGCCAGATTCATTTATGAACTGAACTTAACAATTCAGTGATTCACTTTACAACTGTGGCAAAAAAAGGTCGTAAAATGGGACATAACTCACTTAACAACTGTCTTGCTTAGCCATGGAATTGTTGGGCTCCATTGGGTCATAAGTCAAGGACTACCTGTATTGTCTTCCAAATTTTCTTCTTTCACCTCCTTCAAAGTTTGAAGGAGATGGAATAAAATAAGAATAGGGAGCAGTTTTCCTATTCTGTTCCTCCCTGTTGTATTTCTTTTATAGTTGGGTAAATGATGTGATCATTTCTGTCTTATTATAGGTGGATATCAGTACTGACCAACAGCAAAGAAGAAGCTTTAAATATGGCCTTCCGTGGAGAACAGAGCACAGGGGAGAACAGTCTAGAAGATCTTACAAAAGCCATCATCGATGACATTCAGAGATTGGCTGGAAATGATGTCTGTTGTGACTGCGGATCACCAGGTACTTGGGTGTACTTTAACAATACTTAATTAGGAAACGTGTTTGTTTATTGCTGTTGTGGTCCGCCAGCAGCCTGCGGAGCTGGCAGCAGAGTCGGACAGTGAGGAGGCTGGGGAGGAACATGGGCCAGTCCTGGAGTCTGGGGAAGGCCCAGATGAGAGCTCTGCATCGGAGGCAGAAATGGGGCCAGGGCCATCTGGGAGTGATGCGCGGATTCCAGAGCCTCCAGAGTCAGACATCAGAGAGGCAGAGGAACAGGAGGAGCCTGTTCCTAGTGCGCGCATACGCAGAGCTGCCAGAAGGCAAGAACAGTTAAAACTAAAGGGACGACTCAGGAGTAAGGCCTGGAGATGATTGGCCCCTCCCATAAGGCTTGAAAGAGGAGTAAAGGCACATGGGCCCTTTGCAGGAAAACAACATTGTTAATTCTGTTCCCAGTCGGCATCTCTGTTTGATTCTGGAATCTGTGTGGCTTTGCCAAGTAGGTCTTTTGGCAGCGTGTCAAGGGAGATAAAGGTTGGTGATTATCCCGAAGGACTTTTTGCAACTAATTGGGACTCAGGTGTGAATGAATGTAATTCACAGCTGTTGCAATAAAAGAGGTTTTAGGGACTACTTGTGTGTTTTAATGACTAAGGAAGCCTAGGTCACAACAATTGCAAGGTCCAATCTGGGTCGGTCACCAGGAGCAGAGATTTAGTCGTCTGAGCTTTCAGACTCATGCTGGAGTCCATCCTCAGGGAACTTCTCTCCCTACAGAATATGTCCTTTGGGCTATTCCATTGTGTCTGGCTTTTTCTTTTGATTGGGGTGTTGATGGCCAGCTATTAAGCCATTGGCTGTTGTTTCCTTGGGCTCCTAGCTAATGATAAATAAGCATTCCTGTTGACTGACAAGGGGCGTCTTTCCCAGGCTGCAATCATTTCCCTGGCTGTTTTTGTATCTGCTCTGCCAACAATCTTAGTACCCTGTTTCCCCCAAAATTAGACCCAAACGGAAAATAAAACCTAGCATGATTTTTCAGGATGCTCGTAATATAAGCCCTACCCCCAAAATAAACCCCAGTTAAGATTGTCAGCCAGATGGGTGCATTTAATACCGTATTTCCCCCAAAGTAAGACCTAACCAGAAAATAAGCCCTAATACGTCTTTTGGAGCAAAAATCAATATAAGACCCGGTCTTATTTTCAGGGAAACACGGTAGCTGTGAAACTGAATGTACATCCTTGTTCATTGCAATGTGAGGCTACCTGTTCTGACCTAGGCTTCCTGAGTCAGTAAAACACACGAGTAGTCCCAAAAACCTCTTTTATTTTAACAGCTGTGAATTCTGTTCATTCACAGATGAGTCCCAAATAGTTGTAAAGAATCCTTCGGGATAAGGCTGATAATCACCCACCTTTATCTCCCTTGACATGCTGCCAAAGACCTAATTGGCAAAGCCACACGGAGTCCAGAATCGAACAAAGCTTCAGACTTTAAACTGCACAGAATTAACAACGTTGCTTCCTGCAAAGGCCCACGTGCCTTCACTCCTCTTTTAAGTCTTTATGTGAGGGGCCAGTCATCTCCAAGCCTTATTCCCGAGTCGTCCCTTTTGTTTTAACTGTTCTTGCCTTCTAGTAGCTCTGCGCATGCGCGCACTGGGAACAGGCTCCCCCTGTTCCTCTGCCTTGCTGATGTCCAACTGTGGAGGCTCCGGAGGCAGCACATACCTCCCAGATGGCCCTTTCTCTGCCTCTGACATAGAACCCTCGTCCGAGCCTTTTCCAGATTCCAGGACAAGCCCATGTTCCTCCCCAGCCTCCTCATTGTCCAACTCCGCTGCCAGCTCCGTAGGCTGCTGGTGGACCACCAATGAGATCGCGTCTCGTTGTCTGACCACTTGTGTTCTTGCAATCTGGTGATTAGCTTCCTCCCCTTCTGTCCTTCATGGTCACAGGGGCAATCCATGAAGGAGATCCTGTAGATTATCTAAGAAATATCTTCTACCTCCAAATGATCTTAGCAATGCATGATTTGCCCTCATATGGTAGCCTCTGGGTGGTGTGCGATGCCCACTTGTAGGTCTCGGAAGTTGCATTCTACTGCTTCCGAAATATTTTTGATGTATGGCAGGGTGTGCCATATAGTTTTTATTTTTATTTATTTTATTTTTATTTATTTTTATATGCCGCCCTTCTCCGGAGACTCAGTGCAGCTTACAATGCGTTAAGCAATAGCCTTCATACTTTTCTATATTTATACAAAGTCAGCTTATTGCCCTCACAAACTGGGCCCTCAATTTACCTACCTTAGAAAGGATAGTTGGTCTTGTACCTTTCTTTCTATTTATTTAAAAAAAAAATATGGCTGCCCAACTCACAGAGTTGGTAGTTTGGGACCATGTGGAGTCTATTCCTAAAACGTGTTTGAATACACAGTCTAAAGTTTAACAGACGTATCAAGAAGCATTAGGTGTTTGCAATTACAATTAACTACAGATAGTCCTGAAGTTACAACCATTCGTTTAGTGACTGTTCAAAGTTAACGGCAGCAACGAAAAAAGTGATTTATGACCATTTTTCACATTTAAGAGTACTGCAGCATTCCCATGGGCACATGATCAAAATTCAGACACTTGACAACTGACTCACATTTATGACGGTTGCAGTGCCCCCTGGTCATGTGATCCCCTTTTGTGACCTTCTGATCAAACAAAGTCAGTGGGGAGGCCAGATTCACTTTACAACTGTGTAACCAACTTAACAACTGTGGCAAGAAAGGTCGTAAAACAGGGCAAAACTCACTTAACAACTGTCTCGCTTAGCAGTGGAAATTTTGGTCTCCATTGTGGTCATAGTCGAGGACAATCTGTACCCAAAATCGTTGTTGTTACTGAAGAAGGAAAAAAAAAAAGAAGATTTTTAACATTGTTCTTATCTATTTTTCGTTTTCTTTAGATCCAACTTGGCTTTCTACTAACCTGGGCATTTTAACCTGTATAGAATGTTCCGGAATACACAGAGAAATGGGTGTTCATATTTCTCGAATCCAATCTTTAGAACTGGACAAATTAGGAACATCCGAACTCTTGGTAAACAGCTTTATGAAATAAGTATTATCCACTTGCTGTAATTATAAGGGGGAAAAAATTGACAAACTAGCATTTGTGTTCCACCTTTATTATTTTTATAAGTAACTTAAGGTAACAAACCTATCTATTACTCTTTCCTTTTTTTATTTGCCCCACAGCAACAACTCTGATGAGGTGAGTTGGGCTGAGATATAGAGTGATTGGCCCAAAGTCACTCACCCTTTTATGTAGGGCTAGAACTCAGGATCTCCTGGTTCCTAGCCTGATGTCTTAACCACTAAACCAGGGGTGTCAAACTGGATTTCTTTGAGGGCCGGATCAGCATTGTAGTTGTCCTCCGCGTGCCGGTCAGGGGGGAGAAAATGGGACGGACAGATCCTGCAGCACCCTGCTGGCCAAAACAGGGCAAAGGGGGGCTGTGGGTCGGCCCCGTGTGGCCCATTTTCAGCCTGGATGGCCTCCTGCAGCACCCTGCCAGCCAAAACAGCCCCCATGCACCCCATTTTGGCTGGCAGGGTGCTACAGGAAGCCGTCCAGGCCAAAAACAGGCCACTTGGGGGCCCTCTGTGGCCCGTTTTCGCTAGTAGAGGCATTGCGGGCCGGATGCGGCCTAAGGGCCTTGAGTTTGACACCCCTGCATTAGGCCAAGGATATCCAATCTTGACAACTTTTAAGACCTCTGAACTTTTAACTCCCAGAATTCCTCATCTAGCATAGCTGGCTGGAGAATTCTGGGAGTTGAAGTCCACAAGTCTTAAAATTACCGAGGTTGGACATCCCTGCACTAGATCAAACTGTCTCTCCCAACTAGACCAAACTGATTATGCATCGATAATTCTTCAGAAATCTATGTTTAATCTGGAGTTGAGGCAGTTTGAGGTATTCCAGGGAATTCTGGTCCCGAAACAGATTGGTTTTGTCTGCCACACCATATCCAAGATAGAATAGAATAGAATAACAGAGTTGGAAGGGACCTTGGAGGTCTTCTAGTCCAACCCCCTGCCCAGGCAGGAAACCATGGAGATACATGGAGCCTCTTCCTATATAGAAGATTTACTTCCAGAAACTAAAGATGGTGTGGTTTTTAAGAGGTTGGGCGTTCTCAGGAAGTTTCCATGGGGTTCACCATGCTCAGGTCGGAAATGGGTTGAGGAAAGCCTATTGAATTGAATCCGGACAAGACAAATCAAATAACAAATGTGTTATTGCTAAACATGAAACTAAGAGTCAGGGACTGAGGCTAATCCTGTTTCGTTGGGGCTGCATTCCTCCTGACAGAGCAGATTTGCAGTTGAGGATTATTCCATGATCAACTCCTCCTAATTTGCAGGTGGCAGTTGAGATGAGGAGAACTTTGGGGACCAGCTGGCCAGCTGTGACTATTCTCGCACTGATCAGATTTAAGAGTGATTATCCAGGACTTGATTAAATACTGCTTTGACAGTTTGCAACATGCTCTCTGCAGAAATACTTTTGAAAAGTGACCAGAAGTTGTAATTAGTGTAGGCGTGTTAACTCAATTGCCTGACCATATGTCACCTGTACCAAAATATCTTAGCAGTTTCCAGTTGCTTAGCAGGTACAATTTAATGTGCTGAATGTCTATGGAGATTCTCAGTCATCCAGGTCACGGTTGTCCCAAAGGTGCTTTTTCCAAAAGGCAACTGGACTTTGTTTTTCCTTGAAGACATGTCACTCCTCATCAAAGAAGCTTCTTCAGTTCTGATCAAATGGTGGAGCGTGGAAGGATTTATACTCCTTGCATTCATCCGCTTGTCAGCATTCTTTCTGAGAGTGTACAAAATTCAGCAGTCCATCTGCATTTGAAAGACAAGGGTTACACTTTTGAAGACAGCAACATCCAAATTCTGAATAGAGAGGGCCGCTGGTTTGAAAGAGGGGTCAAAGGGTTATCTACGGGACCGCCTGCTACCACCAATAGCCTCCCACCGACCAGTACGCTCCCATAGAGAGGGGCTCCTCCGGGTGCCGTTGGCCAAACAATGTCGACTAGCGGCCCCCAGGGGGAGAGCCTTCTCTGTGGGGGCACCTACGATCTGAAACGAGCTCCCCCCGGAGATATGAAGGATCCCGGATCTGCGTACCTTCCGTCGCGCGCTCAAGACTTTCTTATTTCATCAAGCTGGCCTGACCTAAGTCTTTCCCCTTTTTAAATGGAAATTTTAAATTTGTTTTTAAATTATTGGGGTTTTAAATTTGTTCAGCCAAATTATTTAATTCGTTTTATTTTATTTTAAATTTTGTATTTATATGTTTTATTCTATGGCTGTTCAGTGCCCTGAATCCTTAGGGAGTAGGGTGGTATATAAATTCAATAAAAACAAAACAAAAACAAAACAAAAACAAAGAGACCGTCTACATTAAGATTGAATGACCCTCTCTCAACAGAGGGGAGGGATACAGCACCACCTGTATCCAGTGGTGGGTTTCCACATATTCTTACCACCGGTTCGCCCCGCGCGCGCCTTCCCGCATGCACCCGGCCTTCTGCACATGTGCTTTTCTCGCGCACGCGCCTTCCATGCAGGCACCCGGCCTACTGCACACGCATTTTGCTCACGCATGTGCCTTCCTTGCATGCACCTGGCCTTTTGCACATGCCCTTTGCTCGCGTACGTGCCTTCCGTGCATGCGCCTGGCCTTGAAAACGTGTCTAAATAGGATGGCATTAAACGTGTCTAAATAGGACGGGGCGAGGGGGAGCAGGCCCATCTGCAGTTGCCGCTACCGGTTCGCCTTTAACCGGTTCGCCTGGTCCGAACCGGCTGAATACCCCCTCTGCCTATATCCTGTTTACAATACAGTCTTTTCAGCAGTTCCAAGAAACATTTGCATCATTCAGGTTACCCTGAGGGGACAGATAAACCTCCAAGTGTCCTCAACGACTCTCAGAAAGAAAAAAAATCCTTCCATTCTCCATCATTTGATCAGAGCTGAAGAAGCTTCTTGAACGAGAAGCGAAATGTCTTCGCAGGAAAAAAACCATATCCAGTTGTCTTTTGAAAAAGCACCTTTGGGGTTGTCAGAGGCTGAATTTTCCGATCACCAAAGCAGGTCATAATACTAATAACTTTATTGTCATTGTACATGTATACACAGTATACCTATACAACGAAATTCATTAACACCCAAAGACCAGGTCCAACACACATAACAATCCCCAAACACCACAATTCCCCACCCCTAAACCATCCAAAAATCCACACAACAGACCAAATAATACTTCTGCACAGCTCCTGGGCTGTTGAACATAGACCAGTGTTTCTCAACCTTGGCCGCTGGACGATGTGTGGACTTCAACTCCCAGAATTCCCCAGCCAGCTCTGCTGGCTGGGGAATTCTGGGAGTTGAAGTCCACACATCGTCCAGCGGTCAAGGTTGAGAAACAATGACATAGACGATCAAGTCTTGCGTTTGCTTTTCTCAGTATTTATAAAATTGTGTTGAAGGATAGCTTTTAAACATCAGATGGTCTTAAACTATATCGTGGTTGAAACGTCTTAGATTAATGGCATGTGTTTAATTGCACGCTTTTTTTTTTGTTATTGTTTCCTTCTTAGCTGGCCAAGAATCTAGGAAATAATAGTTTTAATGACATTATGGAGGGAAACTTACCGACGCCGTCTCCAAAACCCACTCCATCAAGTGATATGTAAGTAACCAAAAAAAAAAAAGAAAAAGTGGAATTTGCAGCTATTTTAGGGTTGTGCAAATCATCAAAGACTTCATTTGGGAATAACATGTTCCTTTGAAAGTTGCAAAATTGGATGGGGGGGGGCTGCTTCAGGATCCTTCTGTAGGTTTTTTGTTTGTTTATTTGATTCCTGTAGCTGCCCATCTCAAGTTACTCTGGGTGATGTATAAAAACAAATACAGTTTTTATTATTTACTTATCAGATTTATCTGAGTGTTGTACATCAGCAGCAGAGGTGGGTTTCAGCAGGTTCTGACCAGTTCTGGAGAACCGGTAGCGGAAATTTTACCGGTAGTAAAAATTCTGACTGGGCCCACACCCATCTATTCTCTGCCTCCCAAGTCCCAGCTGATCAGGAGGAAATGGGGATTTTGCAGTATCTTTCCCCTGCCACGACCACCAAGCCATGCCATGCCTACCAAACCACACCCACAGAACTGGTAGTAAAAATTTTTGAAACCCACCCCTGATCAGCAGCCCCCATTGGGAACCAGGGACTGGTTCCATGGAGAAAGGGGACCCACTGGTGCACAGGTGTTGGTTACCACCTTTAAAGCGCTCCATGGCATAGGACCTAGTTATCTTCGAGACCGCCTGCTGCTACCAATGGCCTCCCATCCACCTGTGCGCTCCCACAGAGAGGGCCTCCTCGGGGTGCCATCAGCCAAACAATGTAGGCTGGTGACCCCCAGGGGGAGAGCCTTCTCTGTGGGGGCACCTACCCTATGGAACCAACTGCCCTCAGAGATAAGGAGAATCCAAGACCTTGGTGCCTTCTGCCATGCCCTTAAAACTTTCTTTTTTCAGCAAGCCGGCTGGCTTAACATATTTTTAAATATTTTTAATTGGTTTGTCATTTTAAACTGGGGCCAAATTAATATATATTCTTTTAATTGTTTTTAATGTTTGTATTGTATGTTTTTATCTGGCTGTATACCGCCCTGAGTCCCTCGGGAGAAGGTGCGGTATATAAATTCGAAATAAAATAAATAAAATAAAAAAACATCATAAGAAGATAGACCATTTTTGATTATCAAATTTATCTCGCTGTTCAGGCAATTAAAACTATTAAAACAGTTCAAAATAAATGTATATCACGCCAAATAAAACTGTTCCTATGGATGTTAATACAGCTAGGAAATGGAGCCCTTAATACACTCAGAGCCACAGACCCAGGAGTCTTCACGGCCTTGTGAAATGTCCACAAGTTGAATTTATCCTGAGAGCTGTGATGGAGTAGTGATTAGAATGCTGTATTGCAGGCTAATTCTGCCGACTGCCAGCAGTTCAATTCTGACCGGTTCACGGTTGACTCTCTGCCTTCCATCCTTTCAGGGTCGGTAAAATGAGGACCCAGATTGTTGAGGGCAATAGGCTGACTCTGTAAACCTTTTAGAGAGAGTTGTAAAGCATTATGAAGCGGTATATAAATCCAAGCGCTGTTGCTATTGCTATCCTGATATTTGAAGGGGGAATATTCCAGAGGGCAATGGCAGAGAAGGTACGTCTCCCGATTGCTGCCAGCTGATGTTCCTTGGCTGATGGCACCCGCAGCATGCCCACTGTGTCTGCCTGACTTGGATGGGGAGAAACAACTGGGGAGAAGGTGGTCCCATAGGTAAACCCAATCCCAAGTCATGAAGGGCTTTACAGGTGATAAGCAATACCTTGAATTGCACTCAGAAACACATTGGCAAGCAGTTCAACTCAAGGAAGCAATGGTGTTAACCTGTGTCAAACACCTGTCCATTCATCTTCATTCTGCTCTAGGTGAAGGTTCTGAATGCTCTTCAAGGGTAGCCTCATGTAGAGTGCTTTGCAGTAATCCAGACATGAACTCATGAGTGACTGTGACTATAACCTCTATAGCTATGTGTAGGTACAGCTGCCCCAAAAGCTGAAAAGGAAGTTGCTAGTTTTCCACACTCCCTGTTCTGCCCCAGCTACAGACCCCAAAGAACGCAGCACACACAAAGTCTGCACAAACCTTAATTTACTAAATTAAATAAGTTTTTTTTTTTCCAAACAAAGACTGTTAATTAACTTTCTTAACAGCCTACAAGAATCCAAAGAATAAATAATCGTAATCTTACTATGGTTGGCAGAAAGCCCAGAAGCAATTTGCAGAGAACTAAGATCAGGACGCGAAGGAGAGTGAACGAAGTTGTTCCCTGCAAATTGCCTCAGTCGTTGTCCTTCCTTAAATAGGCTAAGGGAGTGGTCAATTAGCCCCAAGCCTTACTCTTGAGGAGACCTCCTCCTGAGGAGCCACTCCTGCCTTTTGGCAGCTCTGCGCGCCCGTGCATCGAGAAGAGGCTCCTCCTCTTCGTCCTCTTCACTTATGGGAGCTTCTGGAGGTTCTGAAGGCCCTGGCTGAATCCCCGCCTCTGGCACCACATCTTCTCCAGCCTCTTCATTGTCTGACTCGAGTGCCAGCTGCACAGGCAGCTGGAGTAGCACCACACCAGCCTCCTCGTTGTTGGAATCAGCTACTAGCTGCACAGGTCGCTGACAGGGCACAACACTCCCCAACTGTAGCTTCTCACTAATAGACTGTTAGGGATGATGGAGATTAGATGAGTAAAGATGACTAACTGCATCTTCATTTTTCTTCATGTTTAATCCGTCAAACTGAAAGGCTGATCTGAAATGTAACTTTGAATAAGGTCATTTCTGTAAAAAGCAATCTGTTAATTTTTTATTATTATTATTATTATTATTATTATTATTTTGCTTTGTTTGATTTTTCAGGACTGCCCGCAAAGAATTTATTACTGCTAAATACGTTGATCATAAGTTCTCCAGAAAGACCTGTGCGTCGGCAGCGGCTAAACTGAATGAACTGCTAGAGGCTGTTAGATCCAAGGATTTACTTGCACTACTTCAAGTCTATGCAGAAGGAGTTGAACTAATGGAACCACTCTTAGAGCCTGGACAGGTGAGATCTCAAGACCAGGGATCTGAATTTACATACATTTAAGAGGAAACACATATGCACACACACACACACACACACAAAAGCTAAATAAAAAAAGAACGAGTGCATCATAGTCACGATATTTTAATCAGAATGAAGCTGCAAAGGGGCCTTGGAGGGCTTCTAGTCCAACCTTCTGCTCAAGCAGGAGACCCTACACCATTTCAGACAGGTGGCTGTGCAGTCTTCTTAAAAACCTCCAGGGATGAAGCACCCACAACTTCAGGAGGCAAGCTGTTCCACTGGTTAATTGTCCTCACTGTTAGGAAGTTTCTCCTTAATTCCAGGTTGCTGCTCTCCTTGATTAGTTTCCATCCATTCTTTCTTGTCCTGCCCTCTGGTGCTTTGGAAAATAAGTTCACCTCCTTGTCTTCGGTGTCAGCCCCTCAAATACTGGAATGCTGCTATCATGTCCCTCCTACTCCTTCTTTTCTCTAGACTGGCCATACTCGATTCCTGCAACCGTTTTTCATATGTTTTTGTCTCCAGGCTTCCTTTAATCATCTTAGTTGCTCTTTGCACTTTTTCCAAAGTCCCAATGTCTTTTTTATAATGTGGTTTTGTAATGTATAATTTGTAGCAATGCACCTCTCTCTCCCTCTCCCTCTCTCTCTCTCTCCCTCCCTCCCTCTCTCTCTCAGTGTGTATTGAAATAGATCTATGATTAAGTTTTTTGACCATTCTATGTTAACCAAACACTTCTAGGAGCCATGGTGGCGCAGTGGTTAAGAGTGCAGTACTGCAGGCTGCTTCTGCTTATTGCCGGCTGCCTGCAATTTGGGAGTTCAAATCTCTCCAGGCTCAAGGTTGATTCAGCCTTCCATCCTTCTGAGGTCGGTAAAATGAGGAGCCAGATTGTTGGTGGCAATAGGCTGACTCTGTAAACTGCTTAGAGAGGGCTATAAAACACTGTAAAGCGGTATATAAGTCTAAGTGCTATTGCTAAGAAGGCTGTTCCTCCTGCCTTCAGCCTGGCTCCTGATACATCCAACTATTACTTCCATATAACAAAGTAGGCAATTGCATAATCTTCCAGGTAGTCCTCGATTTACGACCATAATGGAGCTGGAATTTCCATCATATGTCATGATGGTCACTTAGCAATCTGTGCACCTTTACAGCCAGTTACAGCTTTCTGTGGTCAGATGACCACAATTTATGACGACGTTTGCTGATTTCCAGCAAAAAATAAAACCCCACCCATTGGAATACATAGATTCACTTGATGACTGCCACATTCACTTTAATGACCGTGGTGTTTATCTGCCTGTATACCTGCCCAAACAACCAAAGGGACTTCACACATCATTGTCTTACTTCCTGTTCGGTGCTGAAACATTTGTCTTTCCTTCCATTATGTATCACTCTTATCTCCTTCAGCAGCCAAACTTTGATTGTCTGAACAAATACTAATGCAAAAAAGAGGCTTATTGTAATTTGTTTCCCACGCGCACATATTTTTCAATGCCCTGCTTGAAAGCAAAAATCCAATTAGCATCTCTCCTCTGCTCGGCATAGAACTACATTGTCCTTTTCGTACTGCTCTCTGTGCCATCTTTTCATTCAGAATTCTGCAGAACTGTTTCCCAGGAAGTTGGAAGAAACAAACGCCTCTGGAATATTTGCATTATTTTGCTACCAAAGCTTCATTTTTCAGGAGGCAACTGGAGTTTTCTTGTTTTTTTCTTTGAAGACATTTCGCTTCTCATCCAAGAAGCTTCTTCAGCTCTAGATGGATGGTGGGGAATAGAAGGATTTATACTCCTTGCAGACAGCTGGCCATTTGCATTCTTTTTAGAGAGTCGTTGAAGCCACCTCGAGGTTTATCTGTATCCTCAAGATTACCTGAGTGGGGCAAACTGGTGTGGAGCCTTCTTGGAACTGTTGGAAGGACTGTGTTGTAGACTAGAGATAGATGATGTCGTATCCCTCCCCTCTGTTGTGAGAGGCCTGTTCAATTTTGACATGGATGGCTTCTTTGACCCCTCTCTCAAACCAGTGGCCCTCTCTGTCCAAAATGTGGACTTTGCTGTCTTCAAAAGAGTGGTCTGTGTCTTTTAAATGCAGATTAACTGCTGAATCTTCTCCTGATGGGTTTGTTCTCCTATGTTGTGCCATGCGTTTATGAAGTGGCTGTTTTGTTTCCCCATTGTACTTGTCTGCACATGGCTCACTGCATTGTACTGCATACACCACATTGCTCAGTTTCTGTCTTGATTGTTTTATCCTTGGAGTGGACAAGCTTAGTGTATTCTTGGGTTTAAAGTGTGCATGCATGTTGTGTTGGCTGAAGATCCTCCTGAAAAAAAAACACCTTTGGGACAACCATGACCTGGATGATTGAGAATCTTCATAGACATTTGCCTGACCTTGTGTTTTGAAGAACAATGACGTCATTGTTCCCGGCCCAGATGTTTCTTCACACATACATAAAACAAGCCTCACAGCCACATTATAAGCAAACTAAACTCATATTGTGACACGTGTCCAGTTACATCCTCTACAGCAGCAATCATAACAGCCTTCATTGTTATCAGATGATTAATATTTTTTTTAAAAAAAAATTGCTTTGATAGTAGCATGTACAGGTAATCCTTGATTTATGACTGCAGTTGTGATCGGCACCTCGGTTGCTAAGTGAGGCAGTTGCTAAGGGAGTGGCACCTGATTTTACGACCTTGTTTGCCACAATGGTTAAGTGAGTTGTTAAATGAAACACAGAGCCAATACACGAATCCAGCTTCCCCCATTGAATTTGCTAGTTGAAAGCCAGTTGGGAAGGTCACAAATGAGGATCACATGACCCCAGCATGCTACAACTGTCATAAATACATGCCAGTTGCCAAGCACTCAAATCACGATGCTGCAGCAGTCATAAGTGTGAGGACTGGTCACAAAACTCACTTTTTATCAGTTCTGCTGTAACTTTGAACAAATGGTTGTAGGTCGAGGACCATAGAACTATATTGTGGGCGAGAGTGATCATTTGCATCTTACTGAACACTTCAACAGAAGATTTCCTGTCAGAGAGAACAATTAATCAGTGGAATCACTTGCCAACTCCAGAAGTTGTGGGTGCTCCATCACTGGAGATTGGACAACCGTTTGTCTGAAGTGGTGTAGGGTTTCCTGCCTGAGCAGGGGGTTGGACTAGAAGACCTCCAAGGTCCCTTCCAACTCTGTTATTCTGTGAGGACACAAATGATCCCAGAGCTCTTAATTTTCATCTTTTCTTCCTGTCTTTAGGAGCCAGGTGAAACTGCTCTTCATTTAGCAGTCCGGACTGCTGATCACACCACACTCCATCTGATCGACTTCCTTGTACAAAACTGGTAACAGCTGTTTGTTTTTATGGTGGCATATAAGCCTAAAAATACTGTCTCCCTGACTTGTACGGTGTAATCACATGCATAACTTGGGGCACACTCTCTCCTCTCCCCCACCCTTGGTGGGGTAGCCCCCAGTCTCGTGGCCTTCTGCAAAGGCGTAAAAACATGGGTCTGTCCCCTTGCTTGGGCACGCAGATAAGAACACAGCCATGGGGCTGATCAGTGCCCTGAAAGCTCTTGCCTCTTTTGTTTCTAACATTTCTGGCCTCTTTTAAATTTTACATACTGGTTTTTTATGCTTTTGATATCTTATTGTACGCCATCCAGCGTCCCTCTGTGAAGGAGATGGTCAGTTCTCAAATATGAGAGATAGATAGAATGATAGCTAGAAAGAGATAGAATGACAGATTAGATAGACAAAGTTATGGTGGGTGAATGGATGTGTTAGGTAGATGGTAGAGATAGATGATGGATGGATGGATGGATAAATGGATGACAGATATAATAGATGAGAGAGAGAGATGACAGATAGATATGATAATAGATATGACAAAATAGATAGATGGATGGATGGATGGATGATAGATAGAATGACTGGATGGATGGATGGATGGATGGATAAATAGATAGATAGATGATAGATAGATAGATAGATAGATAGATAGATAGATAGATAGATAGATTAGATAGATGATTAATAAATGTTAAATCCATGATTAGGTATGAAAGCTAATATAGGATTTTTTTTCCTTTATTTTTTTTTAGTGGAAACCTGGATAAGCAAACAGTGTTGGGGAATACAGTTCTACATTATTGCAGTATATATAACAAACCAGAGTGTTTGAAGTTGGTTTTGAAGGGGAAGCCAACTTTGCATATAGGTGAGTATGTTCTTTTCACTATTAGTCAATAAAAAATATTGGAAGCATATATTCAGAGACACACATACATGTGTGTGTGTGAATACAGTAGTGGCCAAAATTATGGAAAGCTTTTGGGAAAAGTGTATTTTTGAGATTTGATGGCTAATAACTCCATTGTTTTTGGAGTTTCAAGATAATCCTATTCCACTGCTGGAATGGCCTGGGAATAGCCCAGACCTTCACCCAATTGAAAATCTATGGAGCCGACTAAAGAAACTTGTTAGTCAGAAGCGACCCAGCAATAAAACCCAGTTAATTTTCACGTGTGGTCCCAACATTCATAAATGAAATATAATACGGGAAGGGCCATAATTTCTAATTCTCTTTCCTTGATTCCCCTGTCTAGTTTTTGTACCAGGAACCCAGTTTGTGCTCACATGGTCAAAAGCAAAACATTATTTTCGTTTTGCCGATTTGCCAACTTCAAAAAAGATCCCGTATTGTTCTTCTGAAGTGTGGTCTATCTGACACACCATATAAATTTCCATTTATTCTATTTGCAGGTAGTCCTCAACTTACGACCACAGTTCAGCCCAGAATTATGGTTGTAAGTCATGACGGTTGTTAAGTGAGGTACCCATGTGATCACATTTTTTAATGACCACCGGCCCCGTTGCGGTAATCTAGTGACCTCATGGGGATTATTAAACGGAGCATGGGGTGTGCACAGAAGCTGTGGAGGCCCTTGGAAGCTTGACCCAGGCCTCAGACTGCACTGCAGCACCTCCCCATCTCCCATGTGGCCCTGTCCTGAACTCCTCCACCCTATGAGGCACTACTTTCTCCATTCCCTGTCCCGCTGGGTCTCATATACTTGGGCCTCTCCCCTCCTGGTCATGCCTCAGTCCAGTGGTGGGTTCCTCCCGGTTCGGCCCGGTTCGGCCGAGCCGGTAGCGATGACAATATGATGTCACCAAACCGGTTCTGCCCCCCCTGCCCTTCCCCCTGTTATTTTTACCTTTTATTTGGCCCCACCCCCAATTTATTGCTGCCTCCTGAATCCCAGCTGATCGGCTAGAAGGGAAAAAACTGTTTAAACTCTTGCCGGGGGGGCTTCAAAGGGCCGCCCTACAGCTGATCAGTGTTAAAAGGCAGTGTGGTGGTAGACCGGTGCTTCCAAAAACAAATGAGTAGACTGGTGCCTGCAAAAATAAATGGGTAGACCAGTGCCTCCAAAAACAAATGAGTAGACCGGTACAGCTCTGCAAGCAGTTAAAAGCCTGGTAGACCAGTACCTCTGCTAAATCCTAAAGAATTGTTACATGACCATCAAGCCATGCCCACAAAATTAGCCACGCCCACAGAACCGGCAGTAAAAAATTTTAGAACCCACCCCTGCCTCAGTCCACTTAACTTTTCTGGAGATCACTTTTGGAAAGGAGAAGCAACCAATCCACAGTGCCTCCTTCCTGTAGTTTTATATATATATTACTTATTTGGCCAAGTGTGGTTAGACACAGAATGGCACTTAGATTTAACAAACCGCTTCACAGTGCTTCACAGCCCTCTCTAAGTGGTTTACAGAGTCAGCCTATTGCCCCCAACAATCTGGATCTTAATTTTACTGACCACAGAAGGATTAAAACTCGGACCACACGTTTTTTGAATAGTTTTTATCCCAGAGCTATAATTGCACTCAACAATGAACTAAAGGGCCACCATCAGTGAGCTGTTGGACAGCATTACTTGGTCTGTTGTGTGGATGTTTGGGTGGTTTAGAGGTGGGGAATTCTGGTGGGTGGGAGTGTGTTTGGGGATTGTTATGTGTGTTGGACCTGGTCTGTGGGTGTTAAGTGAATTTTGTTGTATGGGTAAACTGTGTATACGCATACAATGACAATAAAGTTATTATTATTATGGAAGGCTGAGTCAACCTTGAGCTGGTCAGAATCGAACTGCTGGAGTGAGCAGTGAGTTAGCCGACAGTACTGCTCTCTAACCACTGCACCATCATGGCTCTTAAGCACTCAATGTACTTGCAAAACAACAGAATATAATAATAATAATACGAAGAAGAAATTGCAGCTTCCTGCAATAATACGGAACTGCAAAAAAAAACCTGCGCTACTCGGAACATCGTACATTTTAAGAAGATGCTTGGTCAATACCTAGGATGCTGGCAGCAACCCGTATCAACCATTGGCGCCACTCAATAATATTTGTGACACATTTTTAAATGTTCAATTGACTAAGATTCGTGTTTAATGAATAAAAAAGATAATAATAATGATAAAGTGTTCAGACAATGAAAGTGGGAAGTAAAGAATAATGAAAGGGATTAATACCCTGTTTCCCCCAAAATAAGACATCCCCTGATAATAAGCCCAATTGCATGGCAATAAGGTGAAGCGCTTATTTCGGGGTTAAAAAAAAATATAAGACAGGGTCTTATTTTCGGGGAAATACGGTACTAATACTGCAGACATGCCTTATGGGTTAATATACATATATACATTAGAGAAAAATTAGTAGTCACTTTATTTTATCAGCTGTGGGAATTACTGAGGAAAGTTTATGTCCAGGATGTGAGGGATCTGCAGATATCTTCTCAGCCCTCTTTCTGACCCACACAATATACAGGTCTTTTACAGAAGACATAGTTGTTCTTTCTGCAGTCCCAACTCTATCCGTTGGAGTCTGTACCTATCCTGTTTGGTTGCTGTGTTGTCATGGAAACCGGTGCAATTTTGGAATAAGATCTCACTCTCGGAGCAGCTATTATTTTGGGACCATACTGTATCTGCTTGATCCCCTGACAGAATTACAGGCAGTCCTATGACCTCCATTTCTTGATCCAAAGGCTGGTCTCGGAGGATCTCCTCAGAGCCAGTATTTTGGTTATGAAAGGGACTGTGAGAGGTGTGCTGTGTTACACTATTCAGTTGATTGTGTGAACATGGCATCAGGAAGGGCATCCGGCCAGTAAACGCTCAGCTATATCCAGTCACGCTATTTCTACTCTGAATTAAGGGATTCATTACAAGGTCGAAAAAAAGGGAGTTGATTGTGTGAGCAGATACAGGTTATCCTCAACTTATGACCACAATTGAGCCCAAAATGTAGGTTGTTAAGTGAGAAATTTGTTAAGTGAGTCTTGCCCCATTTTACAAATTTTCTTGCTGTTAACTGAATCACTGCCGTTGTTCAATTAGTAACACGGTTGTTAAGTGAATCTGGCTTCGCCATTGACTTCGCTTGTCAGAAGGTTGTAAAAGTCGATCCCATGACTCCGGGACATTGCAACTGTCATAAATGTGAGACAGTTGTCAAGCCTCCAAATGTAAATCTCATAGGGATGTTGCGGCGGTCGTACGTGTGAAAAATGGTCATAAGGCACCTTTTTTACTGCCATCTTAACTTCGAACAGTCGCTAAGTGAACTGTCGTAAGTAGAGAACTACCTGTTAGATGCCCTTCTTCTATATAACGACGGTTTGATTTTCATTGCATCTTTTCTTTTAACAGTGAATGAATATTGAACTTTATTGCAGCATTTGGTAGTTTAATTTTATCCTGATATTTTGCAGTAAATCAAGCTGGCGAAACTCCCCTGGACACAGCAAAGAGACTGAAAGCTATCCAGTGTGAAGATCTGGTAAGAAAATCATGCTTGATTACAATTAAAAGATGAGAAAGGAAAATGTGCATGAAAATTTCTCTCTCTCCCTCTCCCCCTCCCTCCCTCGCTCCCTCCTCCTCCTCCTACTTCTTCTTCCTCTTCCTCTTCCTCTTCTTCTTCTTCTTCTTCTTCTTCTTCTTCTCTCTCTCTCCCCCCGCCCTCTCTCTCTCTCTCTCTCTCTCTCTCTCTCTCTCTCTCTCTCTCCCTGTGAGCAATTTTGCCTCGTTGCAGCAAACAGCCTGCTTTACTTTCATTTTCGTTTTCAGCATAGCTTGATTAACACAAGGGGGAAAAAAAATCTACTTCAGCAATTTACCTCTTTGCAGCAAGCAGCAGAGCCCTGCGCAAAACAGCTGAGAGCAAATCAGCTGTGAGTCGGGAGGCCGATCCAATCAACTTGTGCTAATTAGGCTGTGCTGAAGCTGAAAGGAGCTGTTCTTGCTTGCTGTTTGCTTGCAAGGAGGTAAACTGCTGGGAGGCAGAGGCCAGTGAGTGGGCGGGGCTACATTCGGTATATAAGACGCACCTAAATTTTCACCTCCTTTTAGGGGGGAAAAAGGTGCGTTTTATACTCTGAAAAATACAGTAATTTCTTTTACGATCGCAAAGGATTTTCGATAAATCAGAACAAAGCCGGGCATTTCAATACAGTACAAAATGCGTCTGCCAAGAAGAGAACATGCTTTTCACAAACACAAAAAGACGACCTTTCTGTATTACCTGTTATTTCAGCTTTCCCAGGCCAAAGTGGGGAAACTAAATCCGCACGTTCACGTCGAATACGAGTGGAATCTTCGGCAGGAAGAAATGGATGAAAGTGACGATGACCTGGATGACAAGGTAAAGAAGAATTGGGGGATTACAGATAGTCCTTGATTTGCAACCGACTTCATTTAGCAAACCCTTCGAAGTTGCAACGACACTGAAAAAAAGTGACTTATGACTGTTGCAGCATCCCCATGGTCACGTGATCAAGATTTGGATCCTTGGCAACTGACTCATATTCATGACGGTTGCAGTGTGCCATGTGATCCTACATTTTCTGACCTTCTGACAAGCAGAGTCAATGGGGATTCACTTAACAACTGTCTATGGAGATTGTCAGTCATCCAGGTCATGGTTGTCCCAAAGATAGAGCCTTGGTAGTACAGTGGTCTAAGGCACCCTGTTATTAAGCTGGTTATTAAGACCAGCTGCCTGCAATTATTGCAGGTTCGAATCTCGCCAAGGCTCAAGGTTGACTCAGCCTTCCATCCTTTCTAAGGTGGGTAAATTGAGGACCCAGTTGTGGGGGCAATAAGTTGACTTTGTATAAATATACAAAAGGATGAAGGCTATTGCTGAGCACATTGTAAGCCGCCCTGAGTCTCCGGAGAAGGGCGGCATATAAATCAAATTAAAAAAAAAAAAAGCTTTTTCAAGAGGCAACTGGATTTATACAGGAGTATAAATCCTTCCTTTCCCCACCATCCAGTCAGAGCTGAAGAAGCTTCTTGGAGGAGAAGCGAAACGTCTTCAAAGAAAAACCAGAAAGTCCTGTTGCCTCTTGAAAAAAGCATCTTTGGGACTTAACAACTACCATGTTTTCCCGAAAATAAGACCCTGTTTTATATTTTTTTGAACCCCGAAATAAGCACTTGGCCTTATTTTGGGGCGGTCTTATTTTGGGGCGTGTGGAGCAAGATGGGGTTCCTCTTGCCATCTTACCTGATTTCCAGCTCTGCATTTAAATATTTTTGGGGAGGGCTTATTTTCGGGGGCAGGCTTATTTTAGCACAGGCGCTCAAAAGCCCAATTTGGCTTATTATCAGGGAATGTCTTATTTTCGGGGAAACAGGGTAGTTATGCATAGATTGTAGGGTATAATAAACGTGTTACTAACTTAACAACTGCAGTGATTCACTTAACAATTGTGGCAAGAAAGATCTAAAAATGAGGCAAAGCTCACTTAACAACTATCTCGCTTAACAACAAAATCTTGGGGCTTAAATTTTGCTTGTAAACAGTGGTTGGTTTCACAAATTTTGACTACCGGTTCTGTGGGTGTGGCTTGGTGGGCGTGGCATGGCTTGGTAGGCGTGGCAGGGGAAGGATACTGTAAAATCTCCATTCCCTCCCCACTCCAGGGGAAGGATACTGCAAAATCCCCGTTTCCTCCCGATCAGCTGGGACTTGGGAGGCAGAGGGGCCGGAGCCACTCAGAATTTTTACTACCGGTTCTCCAAATTACTCAAAATTTCCACTATCCGTTCTCCAGAACTGGTCAGAACCTGTTTGAAACCCACCTCTGGTTGTAAGTCAAGGGCTACCTGAATTAGTCTTCAATTTAGCACCAGTCACTTAGAGACCATCTGAAGTTATGGCTGGCCTCCCCAAGGGTACTTATGACCCTGTTCTGAAGGTTCAATGGCTGAGGGTCCCTCCCTATGATCATGTGGTTGAATGTTGGGGACTCAGCAACTGGCCAGCACTTACGTTTATTTCCAGCAGCCAATAGTGAATGAGTGGTTTACAAACAATGTGTTTATTATACCCTACAATCTATGTGTCAGCACTCCAAACTACATTCGTTCCAGTGCTGACATAAGGAGGAGAAGAGGGGGCAGCTGGCAAGAGGACGCTTGACTTTTCACCTACTTATTTTCCCTGAAGATAATATCCCCTAGGAAATGGGATGGGAGGGGGGACATTCCTGGGAGCTGAAGTAGTAGATATGGGGAGAGTGATTTGGAAGATGGCCAATGAGATGCAGAGAATTGGGGAACGGAAAGGGAAGGTTTGGGGTCAGGAAGTCAGTGTTGGCTGCGACGTAGTCGGGAACAGATTGTCGTGCTTAATAAATGAAAGATTTCATCAAAGACTATTTTTTTGGAAATGCAATTTATTTGAGACGACACCAAAACCTGACACTATGCATAACTAGTTTGGTATGATATACAAATTCATCCACCTTCATGGAAGCCACTTATTAATAGTCCATGCAATATATATGCATGGACTATTAATAAATGGCTTTCACGAAGCTGGATGAATTTGTATGTCAGACCAAACTAGTTATGCATAGATTGTAGGGTACAATAATATATGTGGGATGGGGAGAGGAGGAAGAATCAAAGCTCTGTTATCTGACTTAATGATTCTGAGTGATGTAGCTTCAGAGATCCTGGAGTAGGATAGGTCTTCATTCATTGCACGTGTTTTCATGTGATGAATGCTAATTAGCTCCTGAACAAAATACTAATAATCTATTTAGAGCTTCACTCAATAATTGTTAGGAAACTGACAGCTACGTTGGAAGGAGGGGTCAAGCAAGGGCCTAGCTTGGAGTTCTTGGAAGGTAGACAGACAGGTAAGATTCTTGTAATATAGATAGTAGTAAAGTTACTGACTTGTTCATTAATAGTTCAGGTTGCTTGCACCTGACAATAATGAAATATATTTAGAAACCATATGTCCATCAACCTATTTTCTTGCCTCCTCCAGTTCTAAGATTCACAGGGAGTTTAGAAGAGTTAATGAGCTTTCCATGAGCTCAAGAAGGTCTTTTTTTGGAGTAGATTTTTTTTCCCCCTCATGAGATGTATAATGCAAAATTGTACCCGTCGCTGAAATAAATAAGGAAACTTCATATGACAAAACTGAAAATCACTGTTCATGCCTCAGCAGTTTACCCAACAACATCGTTTCCTGTTCTTCAGCTGGAAAGTTTTGACTTTTATTAGTGAAATAGAGAGGGCACCTTGAAATTAAAGTGTTGTTGTTTTTTCCCACAGCCTAGTCCGATTAAGAAAGAACGCTCTCCGAGACCGCAGAGTTTTTGTCATTCTTCCAGTATTTCTCCTCAAGACAAAATGGCTCTTCCCGGTTTTAGCACTCCACGAGACAAACAGAGACTGTCCTATGGCGCCTTCCCACATCAGATTTTTCTCTCTGCCAGCATCGACTCTGCCACTTCACCAACAACTGTAGATGGGCCCCCACTTCCTCCAAGAAATGCTGGAAAAGGTATTTGTTCGGCACTGTTGTGAGTGTTGCAGGAATGCAGCGTGGTTGCTGTTTTGCCCCCAACCCTATAGAAACTTACTGCTTAATTTTAGCTTTCTAGAAGAGGATTTTCAAATGGTGTGACGAACACTGGTGATGAGTAGCAATTTGTTTCACTAGGCATATTTACAGAAGTGTAAACAACTTATTTCTCTTTTACATTTTTTATAAAGCTGAGTAACATTTTAAAAGGATATTGCACCGAGGCTATAAATTCCAAAATTTCTGGACAATGACTTATATAAGCAGGCATTAATGTTTTGCAATTATATAACTATAAAACTATGGGTTTTTTTCCAATAGAGTAGCATGCAATATTAAAAACTCCAGAAAAAGAGCCTGTTTATAATCAGAAAAGGCAGATAAAGAAAACTTGCTGAGTGAAATCTTCATACAATATTTTTAGATTCTTCTAGTTATCCTGCTAACATATGTAAGTCTTTTTCAAAGTGCAATTTTAAGACTTCAACTCACAGAATTCTTCAGCCAGCAATATCTCAAATGAATGTTTTGAGCATTAGATCGCCACAAAATGAGCATGGCGGCTCCTGCGTTAAGAAGGATGGAGTGACAATTGGCAGCCTCGCGTTAGAGACCCGTAGCTGCAGCAGGACTTGTTGAGCTCCTGTCACATCCTCTGGCTCCAGCTAGCCCAGCAGTACAAAAGCTTCGTGGTGATGCAAAAGGAGCCCCCAACTGGGTGTCCCCTGGGCAGTGATGTTGTCACTGGCAAATCCTTTCACCATGGAAGCCATTTATTTATTTATTTATTTATTTATTTATTTATTTATTAAGTAAGTAAGTAAGTAAGTAAGTAAGTAAGTAAGTAAGTAAGTATACCGCCCTTCTCCCAAAAGGGACTCAGGGCAGTGAACAGCCAAAATTGAAATACATACAATACAAAAGTTAAGATAATTAAAAGAGATTAAATCAATCGGCCTCCCAATTTAAAACCCCAAGTCTATAAAATTTAAAAATCCCATTAAAATCATTTAGGCTAGGCCGGCTTGCTGGAATAAATAAGTCTTCAGGGCCTTACGGAAGGTCCGGAAGTCCGGGATCAGTCGTATTCCAGGAGGTAGCTCATTCCACAGGGCAAGTGCCCCCACAGAGAAGGCTCTACCCCTGGGGGCCGCCAGCCGACATTGCTTGACTGACGGCACCCTGAGGAGGCCCTCTCTGTGAGAGCGTATTGGCCGGTGGGAGGTTATCGGTAGCAGCAGGCGGTCTTGTAAGTACCCTGGCCCTAAGCCATGGAGCGCTTTAAAGATGAGAACCAACACCTTAAAGCGCACCCGGAAGACCACTGGGAGCCAGTGCAGCTCGCACAGGAGAGGTGTTACATGGGAGCGCCACCAACCTTTGATGCTTCCAACATGGATGTATTAATATTAGTACCCCAAAACAGCTACTTTTGTGCATACCTACTAAGGGTGTAATAAACAGGTAGCAGAGTACTTTTCCAAGCAATTAAGTGACCCCACTCTTTTTCCCTCCAGGAAGATAGAATAAAATTCAGATGCTTGGCAACCAGTATGACATTTGTATAATTCTGGAGTCATGTTTGTAACCTTCCCGGCCAGCTTCTGACAAGCCAAGTCAAAGTTGGATTTGCTTAAGGACTGCATCGTTCAATTAACAATTGCAGTGAGTCACTTAGCATCCACTGCAAAAAAAAAAAAAAATCGTGAGCTTTGGGAATCATGTTCACTTAACAGCAATGGAAATTCTGCTCTTAATTGTGGTCATAAGTTGGGGAATAACTGTATAATTTTTTTTTAAGACATAGATCCCTTCTCTTCAGTTGCTAGTCTCACCTGACAAATCAGAATGAGAAAAGGGCTATTGTCACAGACAAATATATCAATGGAATAAAGGACATTAATTCTTAATTCTTCATTTTAGTGGTTGCAGCAGTACAAGCAGACTACACTCAGAGGAATCGTTCTGCCTACACTAAATTCAAGCATTCTTGAAATAAAAATGAATGCTTGTGTTTAAAAACTTCATTGTGTTTCTAAACACAATGCTTGTGTTTAGAAACTTCTACACATGTACCCTGTTTTCCCCAAAATAAGACATCCCCTGATAATAAGCCCAATCGGGCTTTTGAGCCCATGGCAATAAGGCCAAGCGCTTATTTCAGGGTTCCCAAAATATATATAAGACAGGGTCTTATTTTCAGGGAAACAAGGTATTAACAAATACTTCTGATTTTTTTTAGTAATACTAGGAATGGTCAACCTTTTTTTATAGGAACTACAGATATAATTTCAAAAGTATACATTGGCTCCTATTTGAATTAAATGTTGGTGAAACTACCATAAAGTAAATAAAACCCTTAGAGGATTCTTAATTAGCATGAAAACAGGAAGCATGTTTGAACATCAGTGACACCTAACTCTGGTAAGAATTTCAAACAAAGCTTGAAAATATTCCGTGTACTATTGCTAAGACTATAAGCTGAAGGGCGCATTGTCTAATCTTTGACTTGTAATAGTAATACTTCAGTCATAGTAATAGAAAGCAATAACAGTAATACTGTATTGATTAGCCATTAGGCCATATCAGAATATAAAATATAAAACAGAGAACAGTACTAATACCATATATTTTAAAAAAAAGAATAAAAAATAAGTAAAAGAAAATGCAAATCCTATTTCTATGTCACCTCTACAATTTACCCCAATCTGATCCACATATATAATTCTCAACTGTATTGTTTTCTTCAACCGAAGGGCTGTTTTATATGTAATTTTTGCATTTCTGAGCACATATGAAATACGTTGTTTTAACATAAGGGTCCCAATAGGCTGTACTTCTGAATATATGTTATGACTTCTGTCTGTGGTGCACAAATATGATAACATTCCAGGTTTTTGGAAGAAAGTTTTTAATGAGATTTCACATATAATTGAACGGAAGATTGAGGGATTTCCCCCCAAAGTTAAGATTTATTACATATATTTGATAGCAGAACCAAAAAAAATATTTTAAAAAAAATTAAAAATCAAATTTTAACAATCAAATTAATTATTGCTAAAGAGTGGGGCTATCAAAGTAATATCTCAAGATAATAAATAAGATAAGATCTGTTCCATAGTATTGCCTCATAGTGTATTTCTTAATAATGAGAAGTAGCAAATCATTATTTTGTGAGGAAGAGCAGGATTTTATTTATTATAGGAGGTAAGGATCCTTGCAACAATCTTTATCAGAAATTGGGGGAATGTTAAAACATACTAGCATCTTCTACGTTTTAAATTTAATTTAATTGGGAAGCTTGTATGTTGCAAAGCAAAACACCACCTTCAAAAATATTTACTTTAAGTGATATTCATAGGTAGTACAGGTAGTCCTCGATTTACGACCACAATGGGGAGGCCAAAATTTCTTTTCCTAAGCGAGACAGTTGTTAAGTGAACTTTGCCCCATTTTATGACCTTTCTCGCTACAGTTGTTAAGTGAATCACTGCGGTTGCTAAGTTAGTAACACTGGTTGTTAAGTGAATCTGGCTTCCCCATTGACTTCGCTTGTCAGAAGGTTGCAAAAGGGAATTGCATGACCCCCGGGACACTGCAACCGTCATAAATATGAACCAGTTGCCAAGCATCTGAATTTTGATCACGTGACCGTGGGAGGCTGCAACTGTTGTCTGAACAATGGTCGCAAATCACTTTCTCTTTTCCAGTGCCGTTGTAATTTTGAACAGTCACTAAATGAAGTGTTGTAAATCGAGGACTGCCCCAAGTCTAACCTGGAAGCACTTTATTCTTAGAAAATAAAGTGGATAGATGATACCAAGCAGCATCCCTTATCAGAGACCGCTTAACTTTGGCTAGCAAACTTGAAACCTAGGCTTGGGTTCGAAATAACTTTTGCAGACACATTTTTGCTAAAGGAATCTTTATTGCAAGCAAAGAGAAGGAACTTTGTGGATTGCCTATACCCATGGTGATTCAAACCAGGGGTGAAATGCTACCGGTTTGGGCCGGTTTGCCCGAACTGTTAGTAAAAAATGCTACCAGTTCGGGTGAATAGGTAGTAAAAAAATGCTTTAAAAAGTTTTTAAAAGATTCCGACGATTGCGCTGTACAGCTGATTGGCACAGCTGATCGTCGGAATTTTTAAAAAACTTTTTTAAAGCATTTTTTACTACCTACTTGCCCAAACCAATAGTAAAAGAATGCTTTAAATAGTTAAAAAAAGGTTCCTACAATCACACGACACAGCCGATTGTCACAGCTAATCGTGGGAACTTTTTTAAAACTTTTTTTAGTTAAAAAATGCTAAAGTAAAAAAAAAAAAGTTGCCCATGCCCACTCAGTCACATGACCCACCAAGCCACGCCCACCAAGCCACATCCACAGAACCGGTAGGGAAAATTTTTGAATATCATCACTGATTCGAACCCATAGCTTTCCATCTTTTTCATAAATGATAAAAGAATTTCATAAATTCTTGCTTTATGGTGGCCCTAAAGGGAAGTGTCTATATAAGGTCCACTGTAGTCATGTCCAACTATGACAGACACCTAAAAGAGGTGAAAACCCCCCTTATCAATTAATTTATGCTCCCTCTAGAGCATTGCCTTGTTTCAAATAAATTAGTTTAATTGACAGTGCAAAGAAGCTGGTGATTACAGTTAACAAACCATGGTTGCCTAACCTGACTTGAACTTCTTTATCAGGGTGTTAATCAAGCTTAATAGAATGAAAGAGGATTTTATGCTGTGTTGTTAGTTAGTATAGTTAGTAAACGAATAGTTTCATTAGATCTATTTCATTCATATGTTTGCTTGAGTGGTATGGTGGCCTAGAGGTGGAGCTCTCGCTTCACAGTCAGGAGGCTGTGAGTTTGATCCTAGGTAGAGGCAGATATTTCTCTCTCTGGGCACAATGAAAATATCTCTGCTGCAAACTCCGCATTGGCGACAGGAAGGGCATCTGGCCAGTAAACACTCAGCTCCATTCAGTTGCCCCAACTCCACCCCAATGCAAGGGATTACGGGGTCATTAAAAGACTAATAATAATAAAATTAATAATGATGATGATGATGATGTATTTGCTTATAATCCTACAGTTGTTTTCTAGAGGAATAGTGAGTCAAAGCAAAAATATAAATAATCTGAAATTAATATAAAAACAAACAACAGATATAACAGTGTTAAAAGGTATCTATTCCAAGACTAAACCTTGCTAAATCCATTTGTTAAAGATACGTTGTTCAATTCAAAAGATGTTCAACATAGATAAATGCATAATCAAGAGTAGTCTCTATTTCACAATGATAAATCATTGTTCTCCTTGGCTTGTTAGTGTTTTGAACTTGGGACCTTTACTGCATTAAATCTGTACTTTTGGCTGTCGACACTATTCTTTTAGATTTAACATTAGATACAATAAATTAAATTATTGCTTAGGTTTACTCATACCAATGTTGATGAATATTTTTATTGGTAAACAGTGAGTCAGATCTAGTCTTAATCATATTTATAAAAGACCAACTTTAATGAATGGGATTTACAATAGTAACTAACTTATTCTACTGATGAGACTTAATATAGTGGAGATTATTTTTATGCGACATATTCGCCATTTAAATAATACACTCTCTGCATTAGCTCTATTATCAAAATTTAAGATTCAGGCCAGAGATGATATTTTTGTTTAATATTTGTATTCCTAAATGTATGAATATTTGTATATTGCACCCAGTTATTCTTAAGTAGATCTGCTGAAATAATGGGTTTAATATTCTAATGAATGTTATTATGAAATGTCTTTGAATACTAATATTCAAAGACATTTCACAATGGGTTTAAGTGTAATATAAGCCCGTTGATTTATGAATGAAGGCAAATATACATGTCCCTGTATAATGTTGCAATGATAATGTTACAGGATCCAATCTGGGTCGGTCACTGGGACCAGAAATATTGTCTTCCGAGCTTTTGGACTCATGCGGGAGCCCACCCAAAGGGAACATCTCTCTCACCAGAATGCACGAGACACATTCTGGTGAGAGCAAAGTTCTGTGAGGATGGGCTACAACATGAATCTGAAAGTTCAGAAGATTACCGTACGTTGCGGAGTATAAGGCGCACTTCCCCCCCCCCCCAAAAAAAGTGGGTGGAAATGTCTGTGCATCTTATACAGCGAATGTTGCTGAAGCCCCGCCCACATGCTGGCCCCCACCCTTCGGTCTCTGCCTCCCAGCAATTTACCTCCTTGCAGCAAACAGCAAACAGCGTGGTCAGCTTCAGCATAGCCTGATTTAGCACAAGCAGCTGATTGGTGGTTGGATTGGCCTCCCGGAATACCCCCTGTCAGCTGTTCCAGACTGCGGGGATCACCGCTGCCTATCGGCGCTGGCACCACCCATCACCACTGTCACCTATCGATACTTCCGTGTGCCCCATTTTTGCCCTCCATGCATCCCATTTTCGGCCTTCGCATGCTTCATTTTTGGCCCGTTAAAGGCAGGGATAGGCGGCGGTAATCCCCGCTGCTTGGAACGGGCTGAAAATGGGGCGTGTGGAGGCTGAAAACGGGATGCACGGAGGGCAAAAATGGGGCACGCAGAGGCGGCAATAGGTGACAGCACCAATGAGCGGCGATGGCTCCAATGGGCGGTGGTGATCCCCGCAGCCTGGAACAGGTGATAGGTAGTATTCCGGGAGGCCGATTCAACCGCCAATCAGCTGCTCGTGCTAAATCAGGCTGTGCTGACCACGCTGTTTACTGTTTGCTGCAAGGAGGCAAATTGCTGGGAGGCAGAGGCAGATTTTTTTTTCTTGTTTTCATCTCCAAAATCTAGGTGCGTCTTATAGTCCAGAGCGTCTTATAGTCTGAAAAATACGGTAAAACTCTAGTCCCGGTGACCGACCCAGATTGGATTCAGTGGATTTACTTGATATTATATGTAAACTTCTCTTCCTGCACCTTAATATCTTAAATTTCTTTGTGTTACCTTCTCTCTGAAACCGTGTGTATGTCTCTACGCGTGTATCTGCTTCTCCCATCACAGTAATTGCTGGAAAAGTTAATTGTAGGAAAAGAATTTTGCATTTTTTTGGAATGTCCAATTGTTGATCCCCGCCCCCCCAGTCCTTTGGTGTATTTTTCTGTTGTCTGATTTTGACTTTCCTGTGTGCTGTATTAGTGTTAACCCATCTTTGTGTTGATAAGAAGATATTTGTTTATCTCCACAGGTCCAACATGCCCTCCTTCAACTCTCCCATTAAGCACTCCAGCCTCTAGTGGCAGCTCCACCCTGTCTAAGAAGAAGCCCCCTCCCCCACCCCCTGGACACAAAAGAACCCTATCAGACCCACCCAGCCCACAACCACATGGGCCCCAGAATAAGGCCCAAATGTCTTGGGGTGAGTTATAATAATATTCATACTGATTTAGTTTCAACACTTACAGGAGAAGGACAGGTAGAGGCTGGGGATGGAGTCAAGAGAGGAACCAGCCTGGAATCATTACGTTCCCACAAAGGATTCAAATCCAGATCCCCCTTGAATTCCATTAACTCTTATCTAATGGCAATTTAACGCTGACTGTTAGTTGATTATATCCTCATCATGATTTACTGTAGTTGGAGATTAAATTGCCAGCTTGTAGGGGATCCTAGTTCTAACTGGTGTCCCGTGTTATGGTTTGATCTTTTGGGAAATATGATTTCCACTGTTGGCTTGGTGTGACGTTTTGACAAACCTTTACGTTACTCTGTATCTGGAGTCGTCCTACGTGGAAGAATATAAAAACAAATGCAAAATGGAAACAAGTAAAAAAGAAACAAATAGCCTAACATTTGAAAGTTCAAGCCGTGGTTGCAATTCTCTACAACTTTAGAACCAACAATAGTTGGATATGATGTTTTAATTGAGCTGGAACCTCTGATTGTAAATTAGATGCTGCTACTGACATTTTAGAGTTACTCCAAAGTCTTATAGCTCTTTTTTTCCCCCTGAAACTTGTGATAGATAGAAATTTATGACCGCTCGGAAGTTTGTTAAAGTAACAGTCTTTGAATTAGTATACAGTAGTGGCCAAAATTGAGGAAACCTTTTGAGAAAAGTATATTTTTGAGGTTTGATGGCTAATAACACTACTTTTTTTTTTTTTTTTTTGAGTTTTAAGATAATCATATTCCACTGCTGGAATGGCCCAGACCTTAACCCAATTGAAAAATCTATGGAGCCGACTAAAGAAACTTTTTAGTCAGAAGCGACCCAGCAATAAAATCCAGTTAATAGAAGCAATCATTCAATCTTGGTTTCACAATATAACAGCTGCAGAACTAAAATACTTGGTTCACTCCATGGGAAGACGTTCTAAGGCCATAATTCATGCTAAAGGTTACCCAACTAAGTATTAACTGACATGGTGATCATTTTGGTATATCTCGTTTTTTCTATGGTGATCATTTTTGTATATCTCATTTTTTCTACGTGTTTCACTTTTCTTCTTTATACTGTAACTGCAATTCTAATAGCAAATCCCTCATAAAAGTTATTGCGCTACATTCTTGATTAAATTATCTTTTCATTGATATATAATTTTATGGTACTACTCCCCCCAAAAAAGTGATATTATTAGCTAGTTTTAGAAAACACACTTTTCCCAAAAAGTTCCACAATTTTGGCTACTACTGTGTATTTTGTGTTGGGATACGAGACAACAGTCAGTTTTGAAGCATCCTAGGAAACCTATTGTCATCCAGCTTTGACCTTACTCTAACACATGAATTTTCTGTTGTGTGGAAAATGCTTTAAATTAGCATTTTATAATGCTAAAAAAGAGATTAATGAAAACAGGATGTTTCAGTTATAGCTCCAGAACATTTCAGAGGCCTTAAATTTTTACTTGATTAAGTTATGATTCTCTGCATTAGGTTATCTGTTTTTAATTTTAGCTCTAAAAAAGGGTCTAAGGATTGTTTGAACCACATACTTTATTGTAAATGGTTTTGAAGTCCAACAGCATAAAGATTAGTAGACTGAAAAACTCTTAGCAGCTGATTTATGTTCGACATTTTAAAAAGTGGTTCTAAAGGACTACTGAAATTTAATAGAAATGGATCATTGATTCAAAACATAGTAAAGGCTGAAATGTTTAATCAGTGGCACTGTAGATGACTGGACTTTATATCAGATTAAAAATCAAAATCTCTCTATAAGGTTATCAGTAGTTGCTACATACTCAAGCTTCTTATACATCAGTGCAGGTGACATATAAATGATAGCCCAATATATTTCTAGATTTATACAGAATGTAGTTCTTCCCTGAAGCGCAAAAAAGCTGAACAGGAATCTGTTGAATTATATATTGTTTTGACTACCAAATTACATTTTTTTAAATTATAGTTTTTTAAAAACAACTCAAGGTGGCGAACATGCTTAAAACTCCTCCTCCTATTTTTCCCACAACAACAACCTTGTGAGGTGAGTTGGGCTGAGAGAGCGTGATTGGCCCAAAGTCATCCAGTTGGCTTTCGCGCCTAAGGTGGGACTAGAATTCACTCTCCTGGTGATAGGCTCACAGTCACCTAGCTGGCTTTCATGTGTAAGGTGGAATTTGAACTCATGGTCTCCCACTTTCTAGCTAGCCTAGTGCCTTAACCACTAGATCAAACCTGAACATAATTAAACAACAGAAGAAAGATCAAAAATAAAATTAACTATGAATTACAAGACAGCTTCTGAATCTGTAGTAACAGTGACATGTGAGGGGAAGAATGGAATACGCAGATATTGTATTGTGCATTGTTTTGGGTGTTAGTGTATCTGCAGTTTTCATGTGATGAATGAGATCACCTGTATTTTGTCTGTTTTATGACCTCAGTTGTTTGTAATTTTTTTTGTGTAGGTTTTGAATTTTAAGCAACACTTTCATTAGAAATGGAGGAGTGAGTGTGTACAAGATGAGTTTCAACACCCTCTACAGGGGTTCTTAAAAGTTCGTGAACCCTTTTAAAATGTGTGCATAATTTCAATATTTGTACATAAACATGAGCTAAAACATTGTTTGTTCTCCACACAAGTCCTAAAACTAGATAAAGAAAACACAAATATGTAGCTTTGGATCATCTTCCCCCAATAAATAAATTAAAATACAATATTTTTTAACTGATTGGTATAATTTTGTTCTCTTCTTTTACGATTTTGGTGGAGAACAGATCAAGCTTTAGGTCGTATTCATAAAATAAATATTGAGAATTCAAAAGGGTTCACAACCTTTTAAGCACCAGTTTATACCTTTCCTATCTCTAATATTCAGGAGTATTCCACTTTCTTGTCAACTTTTCTAACTGTCAAGGCCATTTTCTTTAAGAGTTTCTCTCTATATCATCTTCTAGTAGTTCTTCCGCCTTGACTTCCATGCATTTTGACTGGCCTGAACTTCTTGAGATCTCCCTATTCTGATTCCTACTCTTCGCTCTCCAGATTATGGAAGTTTAGATGAAGAAAAGGATTACAGTTTTAGACAGCCTAAATCAGCAGGGAATGTGGTGCACATTTCTAGTACTTCTGGATAATTTGCCCTCCAAAAACCATTTGTATTTACATCATCCAAGGCTAACTTAAGTCTATGGCGTTGGGCAACCTGTAAATTAATCAACTGATCAAATCAATCACAGAGGACATTTGCTTTGGAGTTCTAGCTATCCCTAGCCAATTCAAAATGTGTTAGTTAGAATCAAATACATTTTCTCTCTGAAAGTTTGAATGTGTTCCTTGTAGCTGGTCTAGTAAAACAGAAATAAAGACTTTATGTAAATAGAAGATGATTGGGGGTTGTGGAATCCCAGGAGTGGGCATATTTGATTGAAGGAGTTGCCAATGGCTGCAATACGCATTCCCACATACACTCTGTAGGTGTTTTCCCCTGAAATCTGAGTAATTATGCAGCCTTGTTAAACAGGACTTTTGAAGATCTGCAATAGAAACTAATAATACTTTGAATTGCAAGTTCTTGTAAAACAATATGAAAGTGCCATGACGTAGTCAGTGCTTAGTGAAAGAAAAATACAAAAGAAGTTTCTTATACTTTTTAAAAATATCTATCCATCCATTACATAAACAATGATTTCTGTATCTGGACAAAATTGCGACAAAGTTGAAAGCAAGTGTGAGGTCAAATTTTAATTCTTAACAGTGGAAATGGTTGATCAAGTAACAACAGGTCCCACCTCCCCCCCATTCTACCCCCTCCTTCCCCACATGTCTTTAAATTTTAATATTTGGTTTCAATTTATGTTTTAATGTAGATATTTTTTTATGACTGTATGATGCCCAGAGTTACCTTATGGTAAGATGGGCAGCCAACAAATTTTATAGGTAGACAAATTTGATAGTTGGGTGGGTGGATGGATGGATTGATGGATGGATAATGATAGACAAAGAAATAGGAATGGAACGGAACGGAACGGAACAGAACAGAACAACAGAGTTGGAAGGGATCTTGGAGGTCTTCTAGTCCAACCCCCTGCTTAGGCAGGAAACCCTACTCCACTTCACACAAATCTTCTTAAAAACTTAAAAACGTCCAGTGTTGGAGCATAAAGTTGGATAATGCAATAAATAGATAGAAAAATAAATAGAGATAAATAAATAAATAAATAAATAGAGATATAGATAGATCAATTGATAGATAAGATAAATATGATAGATAGCTGGATGGATGGATGGATGGATAGATAGATAGATAGATAGATAGATAGATAGATAGATAGATGATAGATAGATATTGTGTTTCCCCAAAAATAAGACCAAACCGGAAAATAAGCCCTAGCATGATTTTTCGGGATGCTCATAATATAAGCCCTACCCCAAAAATAAGCCCTAGTTAAGATCGTCAGCCAGACAGACACATTTTACTGTATTTTCCCGAAAATAAGCCCTAATGTATCTTTTGGAGCAAACATTAATATAATGTTTTTTTATAATCTTATTTTTGGGGAAACACGATAGATGATAGAAATAGAGATACAAAGATAGAGACATGATAGACAGACTCAGATGCAGTCAGTGTTGAATGATGTAGATCTGGGGTGTGAAACTGGCGGCCCGCAGGCCAGATGTGTCATGCGCAGGCTCCATCCACCTCAGCTCCACGAAGGGGAAAAAAGGGAAGTCACATAACAGCTACGTGATGCCACGAGTTTGACACCTGTGATGTAGATGAAATACAATTAGGTTGAATTGAGTGTTTCATTTTGAATATTCTTTCGTCATTAGCAGTCTGATTTTTATTGTCTCAAATTACAGATAGTCCTCAACTTACAACCATTTTTTTTAGTAACCGTTCCAAGTTACAGCGGCACTAAAAAAAATGTGACTTATGACTGTCTTTCACATTTATGTTTGTGTATACAAACATAATTGTATAAACAATTTTTATGATTGTTGTAGCCTCCTCACAGTTACATGATCAAAATTCTGACACTTGGCAAACGGTTCATACTTACGACATTTGCAATTGTCCCAGGGTCATGTAATCCTCCTTTTGCAACCTTCTGGCAAGCAAAGTCTATGGGGAAGCCAGATTCACTTACCAACTGGATTATTAATTTAACAACTGCAGATTCACTTAACATCTGTGACAAGAAAAGTTGTAAAAAGGGGCCATAACTCCCTTAAACTGTCTTACTTGACAACATAAATGTTGGGTTCAATTGTCGTAAGTCGAGGACTACCTATAACGTGTTGGAAAGCAATGCATCTTTTGCTTTAAATCATTATAGATAAGAATATATGCAAGCACATGGATGGAACATTTTATCCCATGTGGTGGCAATGCCCCAAAGCAAAAAAAAATATTGGGAACAGATAAGGAGATGGCTGCAGGAGATAACAGGAGAAAAAATTGAATTCAAAGCTGAATTATTTTTATTAGAAATGATTAACCGAAAGATCAAGAAGCAACTCCAATACATTATTCTACACATAGTAACAACAGTGAGAATTGTCTATGCTCAATGTTGGAAACTAGAAAATATACCAGCCAATGAGATTATTATATACAAGATACTAGAATGTGCTGAGATGCATAGACTCATATTAGAAATGAAAGGCAAGGAAGAAGCAGAATTTTATGAGGTGTGAGATAAGTGGTATAACTGGTTAGAACAGAGAAACAAAAATGTATAGGAATAAATGTAAACACCTGTAAGAGATACATGACACAGTACTGTTAAAAATGTTTATTGTTATGTAAATTGAAAATTAAAAATTTAAATTTTTTAAAAAAAGAATGTATATCAAAATCTTTATACCACGTCTACTACAGATTCTATTCATTTAAAGTCATAGCTGCTACATTTAAAATATTTAATGTTCAATATTCTGACTTTTAGGTAATGATCTGGGTCCACCAGCCACCAAAACGGCAAATAAGTTTGAAGGGATGTCTCAACAGTCAAGGTGAGATATTTATGTGTTGATGTTACTTTTTATACTTAACTGTCATCACACAGACTGTATAAAAGTAGATACAATTTTCATATTGTGAAGGATTTTATATACACACCTACAAACACACAACAGCCATGCATTCCTATCCCCTTTTTCTTAGCTTCCTCTAGCCATTGCACAGTTTGCCTTCAACGGTAGTCCTTGATTTAACAACCATTTGTTTAATGATGGCTCATACTTCCACTTGGAAAAAGTGGTTTAAATTGTTGCACCATCAGAGGTGGTATTCAGCCGGTATTTGAGCGAACCGGTAGTGGCGACTGTGGGTGGGGGCATCTTTATGCTGCCCATCTGCCCCGGCGTAAAGACGCCCTATTTAGACACGTTTTCGAGGCCGTGTAAATGCGCAGAAGGCACGGGAGTGCACAAAGCAAACCGGTGGTAAGCATTTCCAAAACCCACCACTGTGCATCATCCCCGCAGTCGCACCGCAATCAGGACCCCTGGCAACCAACTCACATTTACAAAGTTTGCAGTGTCTTGTGGTCTCATGATCGGAGTTTGTGACCTTCCTTAAGTGACTTCCGACAAGCGAAGTCAATCGGAGAAGCTGGATTACTTTAAAGACCGCACGGTTTGCTTAGTAAGCACGGTAAAAATGATAATAAATGACACTGTTAAGATTTTCAGTCTGAAAATGTTTGTTTACCTTGGCCATGCTGGTGGATGCATCTATTCCAAATATGAGACTTTTTTTTTAAAAAAAATTCTTTTTAATTTCAAGTTTTTTATTTTATATTATTTATATATATCAATGCGTGATTAGTGTGATACCTGGGTATCATACATTTTAATACAATTATGGTATTATTACTCATAGTTATTACATTTCATTGTTTCATATTGTTTAAACATACCTAATAATATATATGTACTACCCTGTTTCCCCGAAAATAAGACATCCCCTGATAATAAGCCCTCCCTGAAAATATTTAAACGCAGAGCTGGAAATCAGGTAAGATGGCAAGAGGAGCCCCATCTTGCTCCACGTGCCCCAAAATAGTAAGACCTCCCTGAAAATAAGGCCAAGTTCTTAATTCGGGTTTCAAAAAAATATAAGACAGGGTCTTATTTTTAGGGAAACACAATATTATTCCCCTCTTATTTTTATCTCTATTTTAACTTTGTTTTTCCATGTCACCGTAATATTCAAAGACGTTTTCTTTTCTACCTTCCATCTTTCACCTGCTTTGTTATTCATATTTCCCTTATTTAGCTCTTCACATCTATTTATATTAAAGTTTCATCCTTCATTCTTTCATTTTTATTTATTTATTTATTTATTTTTAAATTTGTATATGGCCCTTCTCCCTGAGGACTCAGGGCGGTGAACAGCCAAGTAAAAGCATAAACTACAAACATTAAAATACAATTAAAAAGATATATATAAATTTGGCCCCATGATTAAAAACAATAACAAACAATTAAAAACATTTTAAAAAGTGTTAGGCCAGCCCGGCTTGCTGGAAAAAGAAGGTTTTAAGGGCACGGCGGAAGGCACCGAGGTCTTGGATTCTCCTTATCTCTGGGGGCAGCTGATTCCAGAGAGTAGGTGCCCCCACAGAGAAGGCCCTCCCCCTGGGGGGTCACCAGCCTACATTGTTTGGCTGATGGCACCCCGAGGAGGCCCTCTCTGTGGGAGTTCACAGGTCGATGGGAGGCCGTCGGTAGCAGCAGGTGGTCTCGAAGATAACTAGGTCCTATGCCATGGAGCGCTTTAAAGGTGATAACCAAAACCTTGAAGCGCACCCGGAAGACCACTGGAAGCCAGTGCAGCTCACGCAGGAGAGGTGTTGTATGGGAGCGCCATGCTGGTCCCGTGACTACCCGCACGGCCGCATTCTGGACCAGTTGGAGCCTCCGGGTGCTCTTCAAGGGGAGCCTCATGTAGAGAGCGTTGCAGTAGTCCAGGCAAGAGGTGACGAGGGCATGAGTGGCTGTGCACAGGGAATCCCGATCAAGAAAGGGCCGCAACTGGCGAATCAGGCGAACTTGACAGAACCTGTTCAGTGTTTCAATGTGCACTTCTAGTACCAATCAACAATCATTTAAACATATAGAATAAATCTATTCATGTTATTTCCAATCATTCAAGCCGTGTAATTCTACTATTAATACACATGCTTACATTAAAATATATTTTAATGGCTTTTTAAAAATAATAATAATTATTATTATATACACAAAAATGACAGTATACACAGCAAACGAGATAACCATGCTGGATTATTGTTGTTATTATTATTATCTTTATTCATTAAATATGAAACTAAGTCAACTGAACATTCAAAAAGGCATCACAAATACCATTGACTGGTGCTAATTTAGGTTGATACGGGTTGCTGCCAGCATCCTAGGTATCAACCAAGTACCTTCTTAAGATGTACAATGTTCCAAGTAGCGCAGTTTTTTGCCGTTCCGCTGGTGTTATTGCAGGAAGCTGCAATTTGCTGATGTATATTATATAATTCTTGGACATGGTACCAAGTGCCCCGATGACAATGGGTATCACTGTTACATGTTTCATCCATAGCAGTGTAGTTTCGATGGCCAGGTCGCAATATTTTGTGATTTTTTCCAGTTCTTTTTCTTTGACTCTGGCATCTCCTGGTACCGCGATGTCAATAAATTGTACGTTTCGGCTTTCGACAACTGTGATATCTGGCGTGTTGTGTTCCAAGTGACGATCCATCTGTATTCGAAATCCCACAAGATCTTCACCTTCTCATTGTCTATAACTTTTTCCACTTTATGTTCCCATGACTTTTTGGATACAGGAAAGTCGTATTTTTTACATAATGACCAGTGGACTAATTTAAGAACTCCGTTGTGTCTAGCTTTGTAATCAGTTTGTGCAACTTTGCTGCATTCACATATTAAATGAATATGTGAATGCATATTATTATTATTATTATTATTAGTAGTAGTAGTAGTAGTAGTAAGTAGTAGTAGTAGTAGTAGTAGTTAATCTTTAGTGAGATTCACAGCCTTTGAGGCTGGTTAATAGTTCAACAGCTCGAGTCCTAACCAAGGACCTAGGAACTGTTAAGGTATCGTCAGAGGATGTAAGCTGTTCCGAGTAAGGTGGTTTTTTGTAGAGTCAAAATGTTCAAGTCTGGTAAATTTAGAATTTCTAAATAGCGGGGTAGCCCTTTGGGTATTGATGATGATGATGATGATGATGATGATGATGATGATTGAATTTAACCCCTTGTGTATTTCTTCATCAGCACCGGGACTGCTAAGACTGCCCTGGGCCCAAGAGTGCTTCCCAAACTACCTCAAAAAGGTAAGGCTGATCATGAAACAAGCTAAGCAGGGTCAGACAAGGTTAGCCTTGGAATGGGAAACTGCAAGAATATCCCAGGGCTGTAAGTTCAATGAGAACCTGGGGGAGCGGGGGGTGGGAATACCATGAAAGAACTTCATTATTAAGAAGTGTCGAAGTTGACTCAAGGGGGATTTTGTTTGAGCATGTATTATGCTGAATGGTTTTCATTAAAAAAAAAAAAAGCTCTCGACAATCTAAGGTAGGATAGTGAATGAATGTAGGAGACCTATAAAGTCTGCCTTTGAGAGGGAGGGAGGCAGAGAGAGAGGCATAGAATTGCACTGAAAGATAGTTTGAAATAAAACCAGGGGTGGGATTCAGCCGGTTCGGACTGGTTCAAGTGAACCGGATGCTAATTTTACATCTGGTTCGCCAAACCGGTAGTTGCAAGGACTGGCTGGCCCCACCCACCCAACCCTGCCCTCCCCCTCCCAGGAGTCCCCACGCAGCCCATTTTGGATGCCAGGTAAGTGCAGTGCCTGCACAGAGGCTCTGGGAAGATGAAAAACAGGCCTTCCGGAAGTCTGGAAACAGATCTGTTTCCGGCCTCCGGTGCCCAGGGGAGGTCGTTTTCGCCCTCCTGGAGGCTTGAGAAAAACCTCTGGAGCTTGGGGAGGGCAAAAAGCCCTTCACCCCATTCCTCCCTGTGGTGCAGGAAGCCGAGTTGGCCACACCCACCATGGCCACGCCCACCCAGCAACTAGGCAGAGAACCGGTTGCTACAATTTTTGAATCCCACCCCTGAATAAAACTATCTTGCAATCTGCTCTCCAATAATTCAACTATTTTAAGAGCCAGTGGGTAGGAATGCAACTAGTAGAATTTTGCCTTAAATTCTCTTTACATTCTCTCTTTAAATTCTCTCAGTTAAGAGACTAAAAGTTTCATGCAGCCAAGGCTTAATTTAAGGGCGACTGCTAAAGATCCATTTTGAAACCTTCTTTTTAACCGCCCCCCCTTTTTTTTTTTAACCTTCCATAGTTTTTGGTTGGTAAGTTTTTGTGGTGTGAAGTAATCCTTCCTCCCTTCTTCCCAGAGACGCTTTCCCAAAAGGCAACTGGGATTTTCTTTCTTTTCTTCTTCTGAAAATGTTTTGCTTCCTCGTCCAAGAAGTTTCTTCGGTTTCTAAGAAGCTTCTTGGATGAGAAAGCAAAATGTTTTCAAAGAAAAGAAAAAAAAAACTACCAAGAAAGTCCATTTGCCTTTTGGAAATAAAAACACCTTTGGGACAACCACGACCTGGATGATTGAGAATCTCCATAGACATTTCTCTCTTTTTATATACCTTTGCAAGAAAAATAAAAAATAAAACATTGTGCTGTAAAAAAAAGAAAGGATAAACAAAAGAACCTGGCCTGGTGGCTCAGCAGACTGAAAGCATTGTGATTAACACCAGCTGTCTGCAATTATTGCAAGTTCGAATCTCACCAGGTTCAAGGTTGACTCAGCCTTCCATCCTTTCTAAGGTAGGTTAAATGAGGACCCAGTTTGTGGGGGCAATAAGCTGACTTTGTATAAATATACAAAAGTATGAAGGCTATTGCTTAACACATTGTAAGACGGCCTGAGTCTCCGGAGAAGGGCAGCATATAAATCAAATTAAAAAAAAAAAAACAATAGACATTTCTCTCTTTTTATATATCTTTGCAAGAAAAAATTAATAAATAAAACATTGTGCTGTAGAAAGAAGAAAGGATAAACAAAAGAACCACAGGTGTTCCTTCTCTTACCCCTCCTCCCCGTATATATTACATTTGGGCTTTTGAGATTGCATGCTTACCATTTCTTCTTCTGCTGTCAGCGGTCCCAATATAAATCAATATATTCTGCTCAATAAGGTGGCAGTCATAAAATTGCATTGGAGACAGGTGGGATTTGTTTTAACGAAAGCGGGAAGGAAACGAGAAAGGTTTCATCTGAAATTCTCACATCGTTTTTTTGCTTTCTGTTTCAGTGGCATTACGAAAAATAGAAACGATTCACCTTCCTTCACTAGACAAATCCAGCCACCACTCGGAAATCTTTCAAAAGTCGGCTTCTCTTTGTATCGATCTGCCCCAGAAGCCCCAGCCTGCAGATTTAGCCCCCAAACCAGGAGAATTGCCCCCCAAACCCCAACTGGGGGACCTGCCCCCCAAACCCCAACTAGCCGACTTACCTCCGAAACCGCAAATGAAGGATCTCCCTCCAAAGCCACAACTAGGAGAAACGTTGGCAAAATCTCCTGGTGGGGAGCTATCCCCCAGATCTCAGCCTCCCGAGGCCAATCAGAAATCACCCAATATGGATCTTTCCCCAAAGATACAATCGAAAGAGATTGTCCAGAAACAAGCATCTGAAGACTCTGGAGATACGACCCCCGGATCAGCTGAAACCCCTGTGCCACTTCCTAGAAAAATAAACATGGTAGGTAGAATAGCTTCTGCTTTCGATGTTGTGGACCATGCAGTGATGATGATGATGTCAATTCAGTCATGTCTAACTCTTAATGATTCTGTGGGTTAGGTCTCTCTTTGTCTTTTATTATTGTACTACTTCTGTGAATTGCTCTATACCCATATTGGCATGTGTGCCCGAAGCGGCACGCGGAGCCATGTTGCCAGGCACACGCAGCATCACCCGTTCCTCTTCCGGGTTTCTGGCGCGCATGTGCACGCGATGATCGGCTGGCCCTTGTGTGTGCGGGAGTGCTGGAAACCAGAAGAGCTGGTCTTGTTGTGGTCCGCCAGCAGCCTGCGGACCTGGCAGTGGAGTCGGACAGTGAGGAGGCTGGGGAGGACAATGGGCCAGTCCTGGAGTCAGGGGAAGGCCCGGATGAGGGCTCTGCGTCGGAGGCAGAGATGGAGCCAGGGCTATCTGGGAGCGATGCGCGGATTCCAGAGCCTTCAGAGTCAGATATCAGAGAGGCAGAGGAACAGGAGGGGCCTGTTCCTAGTGCATGCATGAGAAGAGCTGCCAGAAGGCAAGAGCAGCTAAAGCAAAAAGGACAACTCGGGAGTAAGGCCAAGAGATGATTGGCCCCTCCCATAAGGCTTAAAAGACCAGCAATGGCTCTTGGGCTCTTTGTCGGAAAACAACGTTGAAAGATTTGTTTCTTGTTTGCTGCATTTATTTCTTGTCGGCGTCTTCTGCTTCTGAACTTTTGCCAAGAAAAGCCTTTGGCAGGTTGCCAAAGTAGACCAAGGTTGGTGATAAGGCCGAAGCACTGTGTTATGAAGAATTTGGTTTGAATTAGCTTGGACTACGCTGAGAATGAGTTAATTCTCAGCTGTTCTAATAAAATCTGTTTGTTTCGAACTGATTGTGTCTGATAATACCTACTTGGGCCTGGGTCACAACAGGTCTTCTGTTTTCCAGTGTGAGCATGCGTGCCGGTCAGCTGACGCCGCGCGGCAGTAATCGGAAGACTTGCTGGCCAGCACGCATGCATGTGCCGTAAACCAGAGGTACATTTTCTGGTGCGTGCATGCTCCCTGGGCAGCTCCTCTTCCTGGTCGCGGGCCAGACATGCGCTCCCTTTTCGGCATTCGGTGCTGCGCGCACACGCGCAGGCTGTCTTTTCAGCACTCAGTGTCGAACTGGTTTGCCATCACTATTCTATCCTCTGGCTGGGGTCAGCTTTGATGGTGCCGTACAGCTAGTCCTTGACTTACAACCATTCATTTAGTAACCATTAGAAGTTACAACAGCACTGAAAAAAAGTGACACGACCGTTTTTCACACTTAACAACCATTGTAGCATTCCCCATGGTCAAGTGATTAAAATTCAGACACTTGGCAACTGGCTCATATTTATGACGGTCGTAGTGTCCCGGGGTCATGTGATCTCCTTTTGTGACCTTCTGACAAACCGGGAAAACCAAGTTTCACTTAACAACCCTGTTACTTTAACTGCTGCAGTGATTCACTTAACAACCATGACAAGATAGGTCGTAAAATGGGGCAAAACTCACTTAACAACTGTCTCACTTAGTAACAGAACCATTATGGTCATAAGGTGAGGACTAGCTTTAATCCTAAAACAAATAGGCAAACAGATGCTTAGCAGGACTAATTATTCTCCAGATTTGTATATCTCCAAGCACAGGTATGTTTAATTGGTTTAACACATTTATTGGCATCTGTGTGAATTCAGTGTTTCAGAAATACACCTTCACTATGTGATAAATTATACCTATAAAATGTGATGGCTTTGAGAGCAAGAAATCTTTAGGTTTCTAGATGATCAGAAAGGCAAGGATTGTTACCCGTTATCCCTGTTCCGAAAGAGACAATTACATCATCAAGTGGAAAGATTTTGCCAACTCCCTACTCACAAGAGGACCAGCCTCATCTCTGTGGCATAGAAACCTGCCCTAGATTTTCTGACTGCATCTGAATAGGCTCACTGGTCTTACAATTGGATCTATGACAAGTCCAGTTTTGGTCACCACACTATAAAAAAGATGTTGAGACTCTAGAAAAAGTGCAGAGAAGAACAACCAATATGATTAGGAGATTGGAGGCTAAAACATACGATGAACGGTTGCAGGAACTGGGCATGGCTAGTCTGGTGAAGAGAAGGACCAGGGGAGACATGATAGCAGTCTTCCAATATTTGAGGGGCTGCCACAGAGAGGAGGGGGTTCAAGCTATTTTCCAAAGCACCTGCAGGCCAGACAAGGAATAATGGATGGAAACTGACCAAGGAGAGATTCAACCTGGAAATAAGGAGAATTTTTCCTGACAGAACAATCAACCAGTGGAACTGCCTTCAGAACTTATGGGAGCTTCATGACTGGAAGCTTTCAAGAAAAGACTGGACTGCCACTTGTCAGAAATGGTGTAGGATCTCCTGCTTGGACAGAGGAGTTGGACTAGATGACCTACAAGATCGCTTCCAACTCTGTTCATCTGTTAATTCCTCATGGCCAACTCGCTGTGGGCCAACTCGCTGCAAGACAAGAGTCACACTAATATTACGGAAATGGAATAGAAATAGAAATAGAATCATTAAAGAAAGGATGTAAAAGGAGGGACAGAATGAAATGTGAATGGCAAAATTTAAAATACGCTTTTATTTATTTTAAATAATCAAATAGAATTGTTAAATTGTCCCACAGTGAGTTATCCTGCGGTGCATTGGCCGTGGTGAGTTGGCTATGGTAGATTGTCCCATTCTGCTTACAATTAGCAACCTAAATCACTAGAGATGTGCTATGTTCCTTCTTGCTTCAAACGCTCTACTATCATCCCAGTGCCGAAGAAGCCCACATTCAAGGAACTGAATGACTACAGACCAGTTGCTCTAACATCTGTAGGTATGAAAATCTTTGAAAGGCTAGTGCTGTCCCATTCAAAACCATAACGGATCCGCTGTTAGACTCCCTGCAATTTGCATACCGAGCAAATAGATTGACAGATGATGCTGTTAATATGGCTCTGCACTACATCCTACAACATGTTGAAATCTCCAAAGACCTACGCAAGGATCCTCTTTGTAGACTTTAGTTCAGCATTCAATACCATCATTCCAGACATTCTTCTAACTTAGCTAAACCAGCTAGCGGTACCTAAACACACCTGTAAGTGGATAATAAGCTTCCTAACAGATAGGAAGCAGCAGGTAAAGCTAAGCAGAATCGCATCAGATATCTGTACAATTAGCACAGGGATCCCCCCAAGACTGTGTGCTCTCTCCACTTCTGTCTATATACCAATGACTACATCTCAAACGATCCATCTGTTAAACTACTGAAGTTCACAGATGACACAACAGTGATCGGTCTCATTCGAGACAATGATGAATCCGCATACAGATGAGAGGTTGAACAACTAGCCTCATGGTGCGACCAGAACAATCTGGAACTGAACACACACAAAATCGTAGAAATGGTGGTAGACTTTAGGAGAAACCCTCCCATACTATCACCTCTTACAATACTAGACAACCCAGTATCAACAGTAGAGACCTTCAAATTTCTAGGTTCTACCATATCTCAAGACCTAAAATGGACACCTAACATCAAAAACGTCATCAAAAAAGGACAACAAAGAATGTTCTTCCTGCGCCAACTCAGGAAGCTCAAACTGCCCAAGGAGCTGCTGATACAGTTCTACAGAGGAAACATTGAGTCTGTCATCTGCACCTCTATAACTGTCTGATTCGGTTCTGCAACCCAACAAGACAGGTACAGACTTCAGAGGATAATTAGAACTGCAGAAAAAACAATGGCTACCAACCTGCCTTCCATTGAGGACCTGTATACTACACGAGTCAAAAAGAGGGCTGTGAAAATATCTACAGACCCCTCGCATCCTGGACATAAACTGTTTCAACTCCTACCCTCAAAACGACACTATAGAGCACTACACACCAAAACAACTAGACACAAGAAGAGTTTTTTCCCAAACACCATCACTCTGCTAAACAAATAATTCCCTCAACACTGTCAAACTATTTACCAAGTCTGCACTACTATTAATCTTCTCATAGTTCCTATCACCCATCTCCTCCCACTTATGAGTGTATGACTGTAACCTTGTTGCTCGTATCCTTAAGATTTATATTCACTATTTCCCTATGACTATCATTAAGTGTTGTACCTTATGATTCTTGACGAATGTATCTTTTATGTACACCTGAGAGCTTATGCACTAAGACAAATTCCTTGTGTGTCCAATCACACTTGGCGAATAAAGAATTCTATTCTATTCTATTCTATTCTATTCTATTCTATTCTATTCTATTCTATGGATAACAATATTTGTTCTGCCTTAGCTAAAATGGCACCTGTTTATTTTTGTTATTCAGGGAAAGAATAAAGTCAGGAGGGTGAAGACAATCTACGATTGCCAAGCAGATAACGACGACGAGCTTACATTTGTGGAAGGTGAAATTATAATCGTAACAGGAGAGGAGGATCAAGAGTGGTGGGTAAGTATTTTTTTTTTCTACTTTTAACAGTTAAATAAAACAAACTTTTGAGGATATAATACATAACAGTATACTAGATGGTCCTCATTAAACAGCAATAATTGAGACTGGAGTTTCCATCGCTAAGGGACATAGTCATAAAGTGCAACATCACATGATCACACTGCCCAGCGATGGGAATTCCGGCACTTTTGGCTGATGTCATTAAATAAACCACAGTGGGTCATTAAGGGAGGATGTCACGTGATTGCCATTTTTTTTTTTACCTCATGCCTGTTTTCCTATTGACTTAATTGTAGAAAGCTGTCAGGGGAGGTAAAAAATGAGAATCGCAAGACCACACGGATACTGTGGTGTTGTTAAGTACAAGGCCTCGTACAACTGTCATAGGCTGTTTTACATTATTGCATCTGGAAAAAGAAACCTAGGGTTTACATGGGCCCTGGAAATTTGACATGAACCCCATTATCAATATCTATGGAGATTCTGAGTCATCCAGGTCACAGTTGTCTCAAAGGTAGTTTTTTTTCAAGAGGCAACTGGACTTTCTTGGTTTTCTTTGAAGACTTGGTAATACAGTGGTTTAATGCACCCTGTTATTAACACAGCTGCCTGCAATTTCTGCAGGTTCGAATCTCGCCAAGGCTCAAGGTTGACTCAGCCTTCCATCCTTTCTAAGGTAGGTTAAATGAGGACCCAGTTTGTGGGGGCAATAAGCTGACTTTGTATAAAAATATACAAAAGTATGAAGGCTATTGCTTAACGCATTGTAAGCCGCCCTGAGTCTCCGGAGAAGGGCGGCATATAAATCAAATTAAAAAAAAAAGACGTTTTGCTTCTCATCCAAGAAGCTTCTTCAGCTCTGGCTGGATGGTGAGGAATGGAAAGATTTATATCCCTTGAAGACAGAAATGATCAGAAGCTTCTTGGATGAGAAGCAAAACGTCTTCAAAGAAAAAAGAAAGAAAATCCAGTTGCCTCCAGAAAAAGCACCTTTTTTTTTTTTTTTTTTTTATTTATATGCTGCCCTTCTCCGGAGACTCAGGGAGGCTTACAATGCGTTAAGCAATAGCCTTCATATTTTTGTATATTTATACAAAGTCAGCTTATTGCCCCCACAAACTGGGTCCTCAATTTACCTACCTTAGAAAGGATGGAAGGCTGAGTAATCTTGAGCCTGGTAAGATTCGAACTTACAGTAATTGCAGACAGCTGGTGTTAATCACAATGCTATCAGTCTGCTGAGCCACCAGGCCCTTTGGGGCACCCATTATCCATACAATTTGTAATCTTTATGTTTGCCAGACCTTGTAAATTCCTGAACAGCTGTGGCAAGACAGATTGTACAACGGGGCAAAATCCACTTGACAAACTTGTTCTCGCTTAGCAACAGAAATGTTGGGCTTAATTGTGGTCATAAGTCGAGGACTACCTATACACAACGGCGGACGCCTCTCAAACACTTCCTCCTTGCAAGAGTGCCTCCTGCCAAATTATGCCTCACACCCTCGGTTCTTTATTTGCAGATCGGCCACATCGAAGGAAAGCCGGAACGGAAAGGGGTCTTCCCCGTCTCCTTCGTCCACATTTTATCAGACTAACTCCAGCCAGAAATTTTGAGCATTGCACATCATTCCTGCAAAGTCAGGCTTTAAGCACGAAGCAAGACAGCTGCTGCATCCCTGCAATTCTGTGCATAATTGTGGATATTGATGTATATATATATAACTGCTGTTAACGAGAAATCGGTCCTGCCCGTACGAAGGGCTCGTCATACCTGTAATTGTATATAGAAGGTGTTCCTTTGCCATTGCCAGTATTATGGTCATTGTCGGAGCTGGCATGCCTTATTGGGTTGCTCAAGCCATTCTTGGCATCAAGCACTTAAAAAAAAAAATTGTCTGTGTGTATGAACTGCCAGCTTTCTAAATAAACCGTTAGTCCCGTTCACTCCCATTCAGCTGTACAGAATTTACCATCCCTAATAATACATCAGTATTCTCGGAAGTAGATAGCTAGCAGCCTTTCTCTTCCCCCACCAAAGGAACGGCTGATGTCCGTTGATGGCTACCCCACCTGCACCGTGGACAGCTTGTGAAATCCCCTTTCCTTGGTATTCATTTAGAAATATATATATATATGTGTATGTGTGTGTCTCCGATGTATCCATCCGACGAACGGAAATATGCACTAATGCTACAGGTACAACCGGTAGGATTTTTACGGTGCATAAGCCAACTGTTCATGTTTGTATTCTGTAACTTTGGTCTTTTACCTCACTGGGCTCCATCTCAAAAGTCTTCAATAAAAAATTATTCCGTCTCGCAAAGGAAACCACGCAAGATTCCTGGCTGTAGGTTTTTTTTTTTCAGGGTCTCCGTATAAAAGTACATTCCTGCATGCATGGCTTCTTCATATCTCTGCTTATAGTCTCTGTTCAGGCAAACAAGCTTTGTCAGCTTTTGTCTCTTCGGTTTCAAGTAGGGCAGCTTCGGGGAGTGATCTCTTTTACCACCCCGATCGAAATATCAGCTGATCGGAGTTTTAGCTGGCGAGCTAATTTGTTCATTAAGCTATGGGGAGATTTCAAACCTTCCTTCCACCGAAGCCGTACCGTATTCGAGTCACAGTATCGTTCTCGTATTACTGCCTGGAGAAATCAAAATCATTAGCGAAACAATTTTTTTTTAAAAAAAATACCCTTTCCTGAAAAATAGCAGCTGTGAAGAGAAGCCACGAGAACATCTGGAAGTAGTTTTCTTCCCTGAATTGAAGAATGCCAAGAGTCTGGCCGCCACAAAGTTTAATAATAATAATAATATAGGGAGGACCTGTTTGGACATGTGATTATTAGACTGCTAAAATATCATGACTGCAGCTTCAATTCATTCGGTTTTTTTTTCTAATCAAGGTAGTAAGGACATATTCCTTTTAGCTACATATTTATTTGTTAAGATTGTGCATGCTTCAGACACGATTTGGGAGAAGGCTTTGGGCTTTTGCGCAACGACCACACCTCTCTGCTACACAATCAGGTTGTCTCTGAGATTTCTGCAAGACCCTGAAAGAAAAGTGCCACTCCTTGCAATTTAAGGAGCTGGTCCCTTAAAGCAACAGTACATTATTATGACGATGATGATTTTTACAAATTTGCATGGAAGCCTACAAAAGATGTCTGATAAACAGCAGAGAATTGCTGGGCCAAAGGACTTCTGCCTAAACATTTTCAGAACAGATAAATATGGCTTTTGGGAGGGAGAAATGGGTAGAGCTAGTGTGTCGTATCACATTTTGCCATTTCACTGGGCAGAAACTGGTTAAAAAAAAAGCTATTTTGCCAAAAGACCAAGTTTCATTTCCTCCAGAGCAGTCTGTTGAAATTCCATCTCAAAACAATGCATTTCACTCCAAGCATGAGCTCCAATTAATTGCACGTTAAATCAAATAAACATTAAGTAAGAGTTTTACAAATCATCCATAGCCAAAGCCATATGGGCTTATTTATTTATTTTTTAAAACAATGTTTATTTGAGTGGTTAACATGCAAAAAAAAACCACAATCAGTTTAAGAACTCAACATAAAAGAAAGCAAAGCAATTATTTAGCTCTTATTGGAAAGTGGCTTTTCAAAGCATTGCTTCTTCCAGGTCACGGACGTTTTTTGTTCAAAGGTATCAGATGAAAGAGTGAGCCTGCTTGCTAATGTCAGTGTTTTTAATAAAGTAAATTAAATTAAGTTTAATAAACTTAATGCTGTTTATACAAACGCTAGAACAAGAACAAGTTAGCACTCCATATTGCTCGTTAAATGTCCTTCCAGTCCATTAAAGGGGAAAACTCATCCACTTTCTCAATTGTCTTTTAAAACAAACTCAAAATCCATGTTTAAAAAAAAAAAAAGAAGATAAAAGCAAACCTATAAAGATGTGTAAAATGATGTAGAGTCAAATGTCTATTATTTTGTAAGCTTTTTGAAGTAGCATATGGATTTTTTAAAATAAAATTTGAGTTCCATCCGGAACCCAAGAGCTGACTTCTTTGATTTAGAATCCATATAGGATAATTAAGATGCAATGTATGATATATATAAGGCTGAGTTTTAAGTACAAGGTTCTATTTAAACTCTAGGGCCACTTATCTGCAATTTTGTACATTTCATGATATATTTGGAAAGCTTGCTTGCTTTTTGAGTTTTGTTTTGGTCTTTTTTTTCCCCCAGGGAGGGAAGTATGTTCTGGAAAATGATGTGTTATCTTACTGTTGAACAGCAATTGCTATTTATTTTTTTATGACATACTGCAACCACCTGTAGAAGAAAAAAAAAATCTTATTGTACTCTAGATCAGGAGTCTCCAACCTTGGCAACTTGAAGCCTGGCGGACTTCAATTCCCAGAATTCCCCATCCAGCAAAGCAAAGCTGGCTGGGGAATTCTGGGAGTTGAAGTCCGCAGGCTTCAAGTTGCCAAGGTTGGAGGCCTCTGCTCTAGATGATACTGAAATCTCCCTTGAATGTTACACTCCTCCTCCATCAGTACACTTGTTTCCTTTATGTGTTTAATGTGACCGTTTGAGTACTGTATGTGTTAATTTCTACTTTTTTAATATTTAAAATTGCTTTTAAATAAATGTATTCCGTTGATTCCAGACCTCTCAATGGCCTTTTTAATCAACCGGATCTTTCTGCGGTCGGAAATAGATAAGGAATTAAGTCACAATAGAATACGTCTGCGTGTGGCTTCCGAGTACAAATAACAGAATAAGAAACGTCGGAAGGGACTTTTGAGGTCATCTAATCCAACCCCTTGCTCAAGCAGGAGATCCTATACTGGGTGTCAGCAACCTGCAGCTCCGGAGCCGCATGCAGCTCTTTGGGCCCTCTGCTGTGGCTCCCTGTCGGGTGATCCCACCATTTGCTGGCCCCAACCCTCACCTTCCCCTACCAGTCACTCCTCACCTGGCCTGAGAAAGTAAGGGCGATGGCGGGGGATGGAGAAGCGGTCAGGGCAGAGACAGAGAGATACAGAGAGAGGGGGAGAGAGAGAGAGATACAGAGAGGAGGAGAGAGAGAGAGATACAGAGAGGGAGGGAGAGATGTCAAAAGGGTTTTGTGGTTCCCGGTGTTTTTTAACAACCTGTTCTCTGCCCTAATGACCGGCTGGGTAGGCGTGGCCAGGGAGGTCATGTGACTGGTGGAAGTGAGTGATGTCGAGTTGGCCACGCCCACCCAGGTTTTGTGGCTCCCGGTGTTTCCTTTTCTGTGGGAAACGGGTCCAAATGGCTCTTGGAGTGCTTAAGGTTGCAGACCCCTGCCCTATACAATTTCAGACAAGTGGTTGTACTGTCTCTTCTTAAAAGCCTCCAGTGATAAGGAGCACCCACAACTTCTGGAGGAAAGCTGTTCTATTGGTTAATTATCCTCAGTGTTAGGAAGTTTCTCCTTAATTCCAGGTTGCTTCCCTCCTTGATTAGTTTCCATCCATTGTTTCTTGTCTTGCTTTCTGGTGCTTTGGGAAATAATTCAACCCACTCTTCTTTATGGGAGCAGCTTCTTTGTAGATTCGAATCTTTCTTTTTTTTTTAACATCTGGCAACTGCCTGAACTAGTCTTTGTAGTTTTCTTGACAAGATTTTTTTTGAGGGGGGTTGGGGGTAGGAAGACTAGCTTACCATTGTTTCCTTCTAGGGTTAAGAGAAAGTGACTGGCCAAAGATCCACCCAGCTGGCTTTGTGCCTCACACACAGGACTAGAATTCTTAGCCTCACAGCTTCTAGATTAAAGCCTGCCACTTTTACGCTAATCAAACTGGCTCTGCAAATATAATATTTATTATTTGCATGCTCCTGTTTCAGAAAACCTGACGAGCAAGATTGTCAAAATAAACCTGCCCAAAATATAAGCAAAGCCGGCAACATCAAAATAATAAACAGAAAATATGCAAAGGGGAAACGCTTGCCATAGTCTAACCTTCGCTCACAACATGCTCTCCCTTCCTGTGCTAAATAGATCCACCAAATCTTAACTCTGGATTGTAAGGAACAGTTACAGACCTCTGTGGGGAATAACAGAACGACAGAGTTGGAAGGGACTTTGGAGGACTTCTAGTCCAACTCCCTGCTCAAGCAGGAGAGAGTTTACCATTCCAGAAAAGCGGCTGCGTCCAGTCTTCTTCTTAAAAGCCTCCAGTGATGGGGCACTCACAACTTTCGAAGGCAAGTCGTTCCACTCGGTTCTGGAGAACTGGTAGCGGAAATTTTGAGTAGTTCGGAAAACCGGCAAATACCACCTCTGGCTGGTCCCAGAGTGGGGTGGGAATGGAAATTTTGCAATATCCTTCCTCTTGAGTGGGGGGGAAATGAAGATTTTGCAGTATCCTTCCCTTGCCACGCCCACCAAGCCACACCCACCAAGCCACACCACGCCCACCAAACCACGCCCACAGAACCGGTAGTAAAAATAATTGGATTTCACCACTGGTCTGGTTGGTGCTTTATTCAGTAAAGTTTATAAAAATAATGTAAAATAATGTCCCAGGAGTTTCTTGTTCTGGATTCGCCAACTGGACAACTGACAGATGTGTTTTGTGATTACTGCTTTAGAGAATACTGAGAGGTTCTGCAGAATCAATATGAACATATTTTTTTTTATTTTCATACACACACACCCCCAAATCCCTTCCTACAACCTCCAAAAACATTTGGATGGGTATGTCAGATCTTAATGCAATTTAAAGGAACCTTGGTGGCGCAGCAGACTAAAGCACTGTTAAGTAACACCAGCTGCCTGCAATTACTGCAAGTTCCAATCTCACCAGGCTCAAGGTCGACTCAGCCTTCCATCCTTTCGAGGTAGGTAAAATGAGGACCCGGATTGTGGGGGCAATAAGCTGGCTTTGTATAAAAAAAAAAAAAAAGAACACCGCTTAGGGGGGACCCGAAAGCCCTACTAAGCAGGTATATACAAAAGTATGAAGGCTATTGCTTAACGCATTGTAAGCCGCCCTGAGTGTCCGGAGAAGGGCAGCATATAAATTGAACCAATAAATAAATAAATAAATATTTCTAGTGGTGTCATGTGGGCAGAACAAAGATACTAAAAATATTATGTATGGTAGACCTGTAGGAAAATGGGTGGAGATAGGTTAGGTTACTGATTGTTTAGTTTAGGAAAAGGGATGTTATGTTCAGATATTAATATACGTAAAAGATTTGAATTAAGAGATATATGTATGGGGGTGGAGGAAATGGGTAGATTATGAGTTGAATAAATGCCAAATTAGGATTTATTATATAATTCTATAGCTGAATGTTGCTTTGAAATGTATAGTATAGGGGGGATATAATAATAATGTTAGAAAGAAATGGTTAGTATATGGGGGGTGGTGTAAAAGGATGGTAAAGTATTATATAATCTGATATTAATTTGGATTTTATTTTGGGGAAGCCATGGGGGGAGGGGAGGGGGAGGGGGGGTTAGGGAGGAGGGGGAAAAGGGGGAAAAAAGTATTTAAAAAAGTATTTGAAAAAATTATAAATAAAAAAATAAAAAAAATAAATAAATAAATAAATAAATAAATAAATAGCTTTTTTTCAATCATATGGCAACATATGAGTGAATCCCTTGGTTTGGGTGTAATGAAGGCAAATAAATCTAACAATTTCATGAGAGAGAAAGGAAAGTTTTTTTCGGGTGGGGGGTGGAAGAGAGCAAAAAGCATCACTAAGGATACCTGCTTTGTTAGAAGATTTTGATTTCAAAAGCTCGTTAGGAGCACTAAAGGTAAAGGTGAAGGTTCCCCTCACACATATGTGCTAGTTGTTCCCGACTCTAGGGGGCAGTGCTCATCTCAGTTTCAAAGCCAAAGAGCCAGCGTTGTCCGAAGACATCTCCGTGGTCATGTGGCCGGCATGACTAAATGCCAAAGGTGCACGGAATGCTGTTACCTTCCCACCAAAGGTGGTCCCTATTTTTCTATTTGCATTTTTTACCTGCTTTCGAACTGCTAGGTTGGCAGAAGCTGGGACAAGGAACGGGAGCTCACTCCATTATGAGGCACTAGGGATTCGAACCGCTGAACTGCCGACCTTTCAAATGACAAGCTCAATGTCTTACCCACTGAGCCACCGCATCCTCTCGTTAGGAGCACTAGAGGGCAGCAAAGAGTACCAGGACTTTGGCCCTCTAGTGGTCATCTGTAGTCTTGCAAGGTAGATCCGATAGCCCCAATGCTAGAAATAGCATTCACATTGTATGTTTCATCAGATCAATTAAAAACCCAACTTTGATTGACGCTAACCTCAGCGCGCTGACCGAGGGATCCTGGGAATTGAAGTCCACTGTCTTTAAGTTGCCAAGGTTTAAAAACACTGGTCTAGAACAATGCTTGGATTAATTCAGTTGGCTAACGTCTCCGGATCTTTATACAACTCTCTCCCCCAGCTAGCCTCATACAACAGCAGCCCCAACCTTTTGAGCACCAGGGATCGGTTCTGTGGAGACAGGTTTTTCCGTGGACCGGAGGGGCCGTGGTTTCGTGTGCTGCCTGCATCCCACAGATGTGGCTTTGCTTGTTTGCCCGGCCCGGTTTCTGACATGCCATGGCCTGGTGGCCAGTCCACGGATCAGGGTTGTCATACAACATACCTACCCATATTATTTCAGGTCTCCTAAACCAGGGGTCTCCAACCTTGGCAACTTTAAGCCTGGCGGACTTCAACTCCCAGAATTCCCCAGCCAGCTGCTGGCTACGGAATTCTGGGAGTTGAAGTCCGCCAAGGCTTAAAGTTGCCAAGGTTGGAGACCCCTGTCCTAAACCACGTGCGAAGTAGAGCTCATTCTAATCTTGGCTCCCTATTTCGGATTGTCACGTGGGGTGATCTGAGCCCCTCGGAACCAACGTCTTGCCAAAACTCATCCAAAACAACAATAAAAACAACAACAACAACAAAAAATGGTCGCCTGCAACCTCGCAACCCGTTTGGCGCCTGGTGCAAAAACCTTCGCGGCACTCGTACTGCTAGATGTCCATCTGCAGGGACTCCAATCCTGCAAGCGTCTCTCCAGATTTGGTTCCCTCCTCTACTAAAATAAAAAATAAAAAATACGGTTTACCTGGCGTTTTTGCAAAGAGGATAAGTGGAACCTAAGCTATGGAGGGGGGGGGGGCGGGGAGCAGCTAAACTATGGGAGGGGGAGTTCTTTCTTTCTGTCTGTGTCTGTCTGTTTGTCTGTCTTTCCTTCTTCCTTTTCTCTCTCTCTTTCTCTTTCTTTCTGTTTGTCTGTTCATTCCTTCCCTCTTTCTTTCTCTCTCTCCCCCTTTCTCTCTCTGTCTTTTCTTTTTTCTTTCTTTCTTTCCTTCCTTCCTTTTCTCTCTCTCTCTCTCTTTCTTTCTGTTTGTCTGTATCATTCCTTCCCTCTTTCTTTCTCTCTCCTCCCCCTTTCTCTCTGTCTTTTCTTTTTTTCTTTCTTTCTTTCCTTCCTTCCTTTTCTTTCTTTCTTTCTCTCTCTCTTTCTGTTTGTTTGTGCCCTTCCTTTCTTCTTTTTCTTTCTCTCTCTCTTTCTTTCTTTCTTTCTTTCTTTTTCTTTCTGTCTGTCTCTCTCCCTTTCTCTCTTCCTTTCTCTCTCTTTCTTCCTTCCTTCTT